AGTGGAGTTTTCATATTATATTGGAACCTGTGCCTCAATAATGTACCAAGTACCGGATTTAATTTATCTTCGCGGAAGGTAAAAAAATCTACTTCAAATCCTCGAGTTTTCCTGCCTTTGACATTCGTATTAAGGAAAATACAACGCTGAGAAAAACGACATCGATCTTATCTTCGCAAGAAATACATTTTTCACCTTTGTAGGATTATATAAAAGTCTCCACTGCACTTCTTAGATTCTATAGATAAAAACCAACTTAGTATTGTGACATGTATTGTGAATGCTTCAAATTGTAACCAAGAGTGTAATTATAATCGTGAGTTCAACCCTACATGTTTCTGAAATTCATTTATAATTTTACTAGCACATATTGGATTTCGTCTGGAAATCTGGACATTAAATACTTGTATTGTAGAAATACTGTCTATAGTTTACGCGAGTAGTACACATTTAAATAAAACACTTTAACGGTTTAAAACGCGATATATTAGTTAAACATCAAATGAGTTTTAACTTCGGCCCGACGTTTCGGATGCTTTGCAGCAGCCGTGGTCACGGGGAGACTAAAGGTAGAGGATGTGTCTGACGTCAAAGTGAAAAATTGTTACGCTAGCGCCATCTGTTCCGTCGAAGTTGGTATTTGGCGAAACTGGCTAGAAATATCTAAATTCCAGCCGTGTCACGAAAGGTTAGTCGCGGTTCGGTTTTAGTCTGTTGATTTTCGAAGCCTCTATAGGCCGAAAACGCATCTTTGTTTATATGACTCGTGTATTTCACCTTTCATTAAGTGACTTTATGATTGTCTGTCCTCTCCTGTAATAAGGAAAAATAATTTTATACTGTCTATAGTTTACGCGGGTATTAAGATTTAAAACAATTATGTTTAGGTAATATATATTGCGTTTTAAACCGTTAAAGTGTTAAACCGTTTTATTAAAAAATATATTTCCATTTAAGAGAGGTAATGACTACATATTTGTTTTCAAATTTGACTAAATATTTTCACTACCATTTTTTGTAATGTAGAGCACAGACTCAAAATGTTTTTGTTTGTAGTCTTAATGTTCAATAAAATTGTGAATCTATTTTTGTTCAGTATATTGTTAGGCTACATATATTTGTAATATAATTCTTCTGTGTAACTCGAGAGGCAATTGATCTAACGTCACCCTAAATTCGACTTGACGAACAAAGCCCTAAGATAAAACTAGTTAGTAATATATCTTGCTTCAAAAGATTCGTGTAACTACACTATCGTTACGAAAATATATGATACGTTTCCCCAAGGACGACCTTTTCAGTTGTAACAATAAGGGTGTAAGTCAATATGTGGAATTGTAGTTAATAATAAAATAACCTCCTTTGAAACGTGACGCTAGCGAGCCTTTAACCTACGACCAACGACAAACCGTGCCATTGCACTGCTAGGATTGATATCTTTAGTTTTTGGTAAATATTCTTGTCTTCAACTTGTTTACTTTCACTGTATTTAAAATATAAAATGATACAAAATAAACTGTCATATTGTATATAAAATAGTAGTTTTTGTAAGTAAATTAAAAACCTTACTGTTTGAAAAAAATTACGACACGGGCAGGTCTTGAACAGGCATTCACAACATTCCGTGCTGTTGCTTTAACCAATTGAGCTACCGTGTCTAGTAGTGATTAAGTTATTTGTTTAAGTGATAATGTGAAAAATATTATAGTTTTTATTAATATAACAGTTTTTACATATTTTAAATCACTACTTAATTTAAGAGGGAGACTAAATTAACTTAATATTAAATATAAATGAATAATGGTGTCCAGTAAGATTTTATAAAGCACATTATGTATTACTTATATCTTCATGCTACTAAATCTATTTCTTGTCAATGTCTCAAATACTGTCCGTAGTTTACGCGAGTAGTACACATTTAAGTAAAACATTTCAAAGGTTTAAAACGCGATATATATTAGTTAAACCTACTTGTCTTCCCATGACCATGGCTGCTGTAAAGCATCCGAAACGTCGGGCCGTACTTACAATGATTTTTAAATAAGTTTAAGTTATACATCACAATTTAAACCGTTGAATTGTATTATTTAAATCAATTTCTTCTTTTTTATTTACGGCAACTGATAATAAAAATATCTGTATGTCTTTTGAAATCATACAAGTCTCCGTTCACCCTTAATCACGTATCGAAGAGCAAACATTTTCCCTTCCAATTCCTTCGAGGAAAACTTAAGCGAATATTTATTGGAGGTTTTCACTCAACGGAAAACAGACACATGGTGTAACATTCGTTCGATTATTATGAGTCGAAATGAAAATGAATTTTCACGTTCCGAAAACTGTTTCTCACGCTTACTCAGCTTCTAAGCTTAATAAACAAGGAAGTGAAGTCAACAGACGAGGAAAAATTAATATGTAACCACAAGATGCTATGACAGAAGAAGACAGAGAGTCAATTTGTTTGTAATATTTGTTGTCTTAACCCTATAAGAAATAATTTTGTAACGCCATTGACCAATTTTTGTAGTAACTTAAGTTTCTTTCTAGTGAAACATTCTGTAGTTTACGCGAATAGGACACATTTCCATAAATCACTTTCAACTGTTTAAAACGCTAAATATATTATGTTTTTTTTTATATAGTATTCGCTTATAGAATGACTTATAGAATGCTTTGCAGCAATGGTCAGGGGAGAATAAAGATGAAAGGTATCCTGTCTGTTTCGTCGTTTTTAGTATTTGGAGAAACATAATTTATCTGGCATATTTTGCGTTTCGAACCTCGCTTTTATATATATTATATAAATATGTCTAGTATTAAAATAAGTAATTATTTACTTTACCTGCCAATTCCTTACGTCTTCGTTTGCGTTAGTAAAGTGATACCCGACTGTTGCTTTTATGTTATTATTTTTATTCACCTTTTGTCAATGGGAACTGCGATGAAACAAAACTTGCATGTTGCTACAAGATCTAATATTGCGGTTTTCACAGTTGTTCGTTTTTCTATGATAGAGGAGAATAGAGCGCAGGATTCCCTTTATGTAAGATGTACTACCCCAGCCATATAACGCGTAACCATTTTACAGTTACATCGGCAAAGCCAATCTGTCGACTTATTCTTGCTTATCATAAATCCACAGACTGAAACCGTAATGCGATTGAACTTCACGCCTTTGTAATCTGTGGACTGTTATGTGGTTCGTGACTCGACATTGCTAGCACTAGCTATTTATTCTTTTATTATCACGCTTCGTGTGACATTCTCTTCTGTTCTTTCACGTTTATATAACGTAACGTGTTCCACGTAAATTCCAGGTCTAAGATATTACAAAAATTGGTGATTTGTAATTAAACCAATGTAGAAACATTGTCAAAATTCGATGATTAAACCACGTGGTATTTAGCGTTCGTTCACTTCACTATGCCGCATAGAAAAACTTGGATGTATTCCAAGAGGAATTTTATGAATCGCTTGCGCTAGCAAATCCCCTGTTGTGTGCCCGATGCATGTGACTGCCTTCGGATTTGCCTATAGACGGATGAAGATTTCCATCTATACTCGTATAAGACTGGGAAACCACTCTAAAGCTTTCACGAAAATGTGTTTGTGCAAGCATCTTGTCAGAATAAAACGAAATCTTTTTGTTTGTCATACGTATTATACTGGGTAGCTTTAACCGGTGGCTTTTTCACATTTTAAAGTAATTTCTTTCACAGACAAAGTTGTCTAGCGTAGATTTCACTTGAAGGTGAAATGCCAAAATTCTAAGTTAAAGTGCAAATTTCTAGTATATAATATTTTTATCTGTGAACGGTTTTTCGTAGCCCGGACGCAATTTGATACCCATTTTCCGACGAGATCTAATTTTAAATTGAGGAAATTTCAAAAAATATATGAAATTATAATGCCAAAATTCAAACCTACGCACGTTGATTATGCGAAACTCTGTCTGTCTGTCTGTTACTCTTTCACGCCAAAACTACAGAACGAATTTCAATGAAATTTGGTATACAGATGGTCTAGACTCTGAGAAAGAACATTCATTTTTTATTGCGAAAAGGGGGTTGTTAGGGGTTAAAAGGGGGGGTGAAAAGTTGTATGGAAATTCGTGGTTTTTGGAGATAGAACAATTAAACTTTCTACTTTGGCCTTTTTGGAATAGGAGTGGGAGTTGGAGTGGGAGAAGGCGTGGCAGTGGGAGTGAGTGTAGGAATGAGTGTGGGAGTTAGAGTAGGAGTGATGTGAGGTGAGAGTGTTGCGGCAAAGTTACATTTACCATAGATTGGCTGCCTTAAATGCGCTCTTACAGAAATTAATAAACAGCCTCAATAATTAAAAATTCTACCCCAAGTTACTATTCCACGCGGACGAAGTCGCGGGCACAGCTAGTTTTTAATAAATTCTTGATAACTCTCCCGCAATATTGTTAGGATGAACTGATTTAAACATTATTAATATCCATTTTGCAGCGAGTTAATGCAATATGAAAATGTCAAGACTTTTAAGATAGATAGTAAGTTTTAAATTAGTTTTTCTTGTGACACGAAACTCATTTAAAGTCATTGTATTCAACAGAGTTATAGGAAAAATTATTTAGCTTTAGTTTCCCTAGATAAGTTTAGTAAGTTGTGGGTAAGTTTTGTTTCGATGTTTTTAAGATTGTATATTTTGTTTCGCACACCTTGAACGTTTCGTTTTTATGTAAACTTTCTTATCTTTCATCTTTGGTTGTCTGACTCTTTCGATTCCTCGTTAGCGATAAGGCCGTACATTGCACTCCAAATTTTTAATATATAAGTCTCATTTGTATTTTTTTCTTTTCGTTTAAATAAAAAATAATAATAAGTACAGCCGACTTTATAACACGAGTCAAACAAGTCACGGGGTTCGTTGTCTGATCATATAATGAAATCTTTGTATACATATGATGTACGTATGTATACTTTATCCTATTAAAATTGATAATATTACCATTTTAAAAATCAAAGTCAGAAATATCATCTATTCTTTATTTCTTCAAATCCATCTGGATGTATTGTTTTAGTTCTTTTCACCACGTCAAATCGACCATCTGGAAAAAATAGATAATTATATATACTTAATTCAGTTAAATGTATGTATTTAGGTAAAAACGCAACTCAATTGTCCAGAGGTCATTGAGCTGAACAGTGGACCTCGGTTCAAGTCTCGCCCATGTCGTCAAATTGTTTCAAACAAAATACATTTTTAATTTATACAATAAATGAACTAATAATACGTTGCGTTTTAATAGTTAAAAATATAATATTTTTCCCACGTTATTTTACATGTGAAAAATGCAAAACACATTATATCTAAAATCATCAATCAAGTTTTACGTTAAAAAATATTGTATTTATTCTTTGTTTTATACTTAACACGATATTTGTAAAAATATAATACACCTTAAAACGAAAATCTAAACGAATCGTGTTAAGGACTCTGTATACATAACCAAACCACCTAACAGAAATAACTAAAATAAAACTAAATGAATTATTCCCAAATAACAAAGGAAATAATCAATTATTTCACAATATGCGCACGCAAAATGCACTTGTTTGCAAAGTTCACGTATGTACAGATGTTTCCGATACTGAATAATAAAACCTTATTTTTATTATTATTATAATGACATTTTTTTTTAATTTTGACAGAATCGTTGTTCTAATGGTCACCAACACGTAATCATGAGGGCGGCTGTTCGATCCCAGAAAGTTCCAACAAATAAATAATCAACTTTTATTTTTTCGCTATTATGACGAGGGAACCCAGGTGCTTCCAGAGCGGGTTCGTGGGCCTTAGCGACGGTCCACTTTAAGTTTCTGATCTATTAGTAATTTGTGTAGAAGCTTCCAAATACCTTACTAACATTTTGGCCGATTCGAACCCGGGACTAATGCTAGATCAACTTTGCAATTCATGAGTATTTAATAAAAATGTAAAAATGTCATATCTATAAACTAAAATAAAAACGCTTTTAACGGTTTAAGACGTAAAATATATTAGTTAACTTATTTACAATTTAACTACGGATCGACAATTATCTTCATCAGCCGTGGACTAGCTGTGTCAGCGGCTTTGTCTGCTAAGAATATTTATCTTGGGCATCCAAATTCGTTTTTGCAAACCCCTATATCTTTATAAACTTAAGCTGTTACCCACGACATCGGTCGCACACCTTTCCCGTCGTTCTTAAAAGTTAATCTTAAAAGATAGACATATATATTTTAATAAATAATATCTATCATACATATTTTTTGGGTATCTTGAACCGTTCTTGCAGCGTATGCCTCAGTAACCCATATTTTTTTCTATTTTAACCCGTAGTTACTGAGATTAGCACGTTCAAACAAACAAACTCTTCAGCTTTATACATATATTAGTATAGATAAGTTGTAAATGAGTTAACTGTTATATTTTTTGTTTCAACCCGTTAAAAGTGTTTTATTTGAATGTGTGTTTCTCGCGTAACTATTGTGTTATATGTACTACGAAAATTAAAAATTCGTATTTACGGCCAATCAGTTTCTTTGTACAATTTACTATCTCGACACAAAACACAATTTTTGTTTTTCATCCATAATTTATTTAAACAGATGTATCTCTAATTCTAATAAATACCTATTTCATATATTAGTTATTTATAAGTTTATACAGTTGAACTTACTGTAGTTAATTTATATCTACTAAGCTACTAATCACTTGTTTGTCAGTCTTCGCTTGCATTGCAAAAAAAATACATACATTCTTATAAAAAAAAAAATAATTTTAAGCTGTTTAGTAAAATGAATAACTAAGAAATAGAAAATCTGAAAGAAGAGAATGGCTGTAGTTGAACAAGTAAGCATTTAAAAACATCTTATCAATTTAAACCGGACCGTAACTAATATACTTTGTGTTTTAAACTGTTAGAAGATTCATGAACTTGAATTGTATTATGGATATACATACCATCCCTCCTTGTTGTCTCCGTAATTTCCTCCACCATAGTACCGTTCGGATGAATTGTTATAACTTTTTCTCTTTCAACGCGAACTTGCGGCGAGATTACGAAGACATTACTGTCATTCTTTTGCGTTAATATCCTCCAAGCGTTCTCATCACTTGTATTAAACCAGAAGGGTGTATCATTATTTTGTACTTGGTTTATATTTGGAATGTCTAAAAGAATAATCCTAATCTGTTAATCTAAATCAAAGATGCACAGACCGCGGCCCGCAGGTCGAACATTGGTGGCTCGCCGACATCAAAAAGAATACTCGAATTAATGAATTATTTTCAATTTTAATACATTATTATAAAGTCTTTAATTACTTCTGGCGGCCCGCCATCAGTTCATGATTTGCCCGAGTGGCCCCTTTCTTAATATAAATACCATACCTGATATAAATGATAATTTAAAAATGTCTTTAACTATTGTAATACTAAAGATCTATTTTACCATAATACTTACAAATTGGTGCCATAGCCTCGTTATTATCTGCGTCAATAGAACTATCATTTACATTATATGCTTCGTTAGATATATTTGTTGTACTTTCTGATGAATCATCTTCAAACGTCTCTGCGCTCTCTGTTTGATTTGATAAATCAACGAAAGGTGCTATAAATTCTACCATATCCTCTATAGAGTTAATGAAATCGTCTACCATTTCCTGGTCTACTAGGTCATCGATATTTTCATTAACTTCCGTTGTATTTTCTTGTAGCTTTGACTTATCATCAATATCTACAGTTTCTTCTGAAGTGGGAACTGTTGATTTATAATTATTTTATCACCTATTATAAGGTAATCTAAAGTATATAAGTAATTATAACACATATTTTAACAGCACATATTGTATATGTATTTCAAATAGATGAAGTACTTGGAATATTATAATACTTACTTTGTTCTTCCGTGGTGTCATTACCATTTACTGTAATCGATAATGAATCCCCAGGTTCTCCTTCAGATATAAGATCTGGTTTATCTACATTTGAAATATTTTTGCCAATATAGCTTAGAGAGTCATTTTCTGGGTCTGATATTTGATTAATATTACTTAGAGGATTCCAAAAATCGTCTGCATTTAAATTTTCCAAGATGTCCTCTGTGCCATCGTTATTATCATCTTCATCACTTATATTTTCTAAATTGTTAGCTGATGATGATATAGCTGACGTTTCGTTTGATTGTGGTATAGGTGATGTTATGTCATTTGTTTCCAAATACGGTTTTGTCTCGTTCCCAACTGTCTCTGGGATTGTTTCGTTTTTATTTAGTTCTATTGGTAGTTGTAAAGGTTTAGTAATATCTAATGTGTTATTTTCTTTAACAATTGCAGGAGCAATTTGATGTTGATTAGTTTGAGTTAAAGTGTTCGGGGCTATATTTTCTTTTAAATTACTTGGGAGTGGAATTGACTGTGGCGTATTGAAAATTGGTACTAATGTAGGGTTACCTAAAGGACTTCCTGATCGCATTATTAGAATGGAGTCGTCGGTATTAGTAATAGGAGCATCTTGAACAGATATTTGAGGAACACGTGGTTTGTTTGGTCTTCGCAATATGTAATATGGATAATCCCTTTTAACAGCATCTAAGGTATCTGATTCCTCAACGGTACCATCTGGGTGTATTATTGTATAGCTTTTCTTCTTTGGTAGATTCGAAGCAGGTGGTACGGGAATTTGGTGAATTGTCTGTTTGGATGTAAAATGTTTTATATTAAAAGAATAAGCACGTTTAAAAATTGAGTAACGACACAAAATACTGTGCTTCGTGGAAAAAAACATTTTCATCAATTAGTTCTTAATGAATTTGAATTTGACTACCTCTGGAGTTAAATGCTTATGCGTATTGCTAACTAGCATTAAGCGCGATAGGTTACAAAAGATTGTTTCGGCGTAGCAGGGCACAGAAGTGTGATAAACTACTTGCCTGTAAATAAAACCAATCAGTGAAACGGACACAGAATTGTGTTCGCCTCATGCCCCACGGGTCTAAAAAAAATTCACTAATTATGTGCATTTACACTTACGTGTAACAATTAAATTGGATATCGGTTGCTCCATATTTGTCTGGGTAACGATACTATTTCTGTCAAATATACCTAACAGGGGTAAGTTCTGGGCACGCGGAGATTGTTGCATTGTTCCTGGAAACTGTGGTACAATAGGGTCTGATTGTACACGCCCATCGCTTAGTGGTGATGCAACGTAACCACGTAGATTAATTTGGAAGTTCTGAGAATACACATGTCCTTGTTGGTTTAGCTTTTGTGGTGGATATATCTGTTGTAGGTTTCGATTCGGTGGTACAACTCCAATATTTCTATTCAATTGTGGCTTCGCTTGTTGAATGATCCTTCTTTCATTTTCATTTAAAGCATTTGGTATGTTGTAGATATTTCTGTTTTGTGTAGCTGCAATATTTTGAGGCACATTTGTTTGGTGATTAATAGGAACACCAAGATTCTGTAAACCATTATATGGAACCCTAATGTCTCTGTTCACTTGTGGAATATTTTGCTTTTGAAGGAACCTTTCATTGTATCTCTGTTGCAGATTAAAACCAGCATTTCGATTTACTGGTATTGTGGGTGGTAATCCGTCTGGAAAATGATTGAATTTAAATCGTGGAATAAGTATTTTTATATAAAATTCTTAATTACAACTACGAACGAACTTCAGTACTCTCTATATTTCGCGAGTAGTACACATTTAAAAAAAACGACTTTAACGGTTTAAAACGATAAATTATTTTTACAACTTATTTGAATCAATGATTTTTAACGGCGGCCCTATCGTCTTTAGCCCGGTCTCTTCCAGTGACCACGGCTGCTGCAAATCATCATTATAAACGTCGGGCCGAAGTTAAAAATAATTTTCAAATAAGTTTAATAATAAATTACAACGTGTTGTACTTGAACTTCAGGGATATTTCATCTGTGGGTGATCATCGTGAGCCAGACGGAATATCTATAATCCTACCAACCAAATACAGATTTCCAAACAAAGTCCGGATATATTTGTGGTGGGAATGGAACTCATTGATTAAAAACCATTTATTGCTATTATTTGAACAACGAGACCGTAAAAATCGAAATATAAAATTATGTAAATCGATCGGCTTTTACTTACACGTAATTTCAATTAGCACGAAACAAGGGAGCACAAGTGTTACCAACATTTTCGTCAACCACAAAAACGTTTGGCACCAAACTGAATAATTCCGAAACTTTATTGTTACAAATCCGCGTAGAGCGAGCATAAAAGCTGAGCAAACATTCTATTGTCGGCTATGTACACATCGCATGTAAAATTTTGTATGAAATCTTTGTTTGGAAAGGCCCTTCGTCATAATTTCGAGTAAACTAGCCTATTTTATTGAAGAACACACAGTCTGTTGTCAATTAACCTCAGGTATTGCTAAGTTATCCAAATCTAACTTTTATAACCAACTAGCTGTGTCAGCGACTTAATATATATAAATAGTTAAATATACTTAAAATTGGTCTTTGCAAATCCCCTCTTCATCTTTATAAATGTAAACCCATGACGTAGACGCGTCTCGTCGTTAACTCGTCGTCGCGAGTTCATCCAAAAGATAGACATATTCGTTCGTGAACATTTTTAGATATTTTTAAACAATAATTATTCTTATATATATATATTTTTTTGGTATTGCATGCATTTGCATCGTACGCATCGGAAACCCATAAAGTTGAACAATTTTCGCCGTTTCGCTTTCCTATTGATCACAGCGCAATGTTAGAGCCACGATAAATGTTATAACTAAAAAGAAAGGATATTTCAATTTCGAACAAACAAACTCTTCAGCTTTATATATTAAGTATACGTGTAGATGTTTTCTCTCACAGAACTTTGAAGTATTTTTCACCAAACTTTCTTCAGTGGTTTTCTGTACTTTTCACGAAAAGTTTTCAAAAGTTACAGCCACTCGGGCTTCTAATAGTACAGTTTGGCCGTTTTAAGTCAATTATGTGCGGGGTAATTTTAGGAATGAATTTTTGAAAGCAATACTTTGTGTTGACTCGAATAAGAAGCTTACTCATTTCTAATATTTATCGACCGATGGAATGTATTGTGTCAATACTTATTTGAAAAGATTTGTTAATTACAAAGTTTATTAATAAGTAATTATAAATTTATAATTATTTATTAGGGTCAATAACAAACATAGACACACAGTAAACTTGTAGGTCTTTGCTCTGTTCTTAGTTTATTGTACTTCGCTCCATTTAAACCTGTATAAATAAGTAGAAGCAGTAGCAAATTGGGGTGAAACGTATTGCTTAACATTGTGTTACGCGCGAGAGGTTCTGGGCTCGAATCCCAGGGAAACGAAAAATGTTTTGGTCGGGCAGGGCACAGAAGTCTGATCAACTACTTGCCTGTTAAAGAACGGATCAGTGAAACGGACACAGAAATGTGTTCGCCCCATGCCCCACGAGGGGGAAACGGGAACTTAATACCTATAATTAGTCTATTTGTATACATGAAGCATGAAGTTAAACTATAGCAAATGCTAAAACAATAGCTTTTCAGTATAATTTTACGAATACGCTTGTTGCAGTACTGATTTTAAGTGGTCCCTAGTGCCATCGCTTCTAGAGAAACAATATGCATTAAATTCTTGTACACTTAAATCTGAAATAACAACTTATGCATTAAATCCTATTTTACAACAAATACACATACATGTAATGTGACCTATCTAATGTAAACTCTAACATAAACGAAAAATAATAACTTGTTTTTGCAATATAATCTTAAAAGATAGACATATAGTAGTCTTAAAGAGAAATCATTCTTTCATATATGTTTTCGCAGCTATCACAACGGAAACCAATAAAGAATAAGTCTCGCCATTTTTTCCACATTTTACACTAATTCTTCGCTCCTATTGGTTGCAGCGTGATGTTTTATAGCCTAAAGCCTTCCTCGATAAATGCTCTTACCATCACAACAGTCATTATTTGTTTCAAACCTGTGGTTTCTGGGATTAGCGCGTTCAAACAAAGTCTTCAACGTTATGATAATAGTATAGACTTCTTAGTATTCGATTTGGGTCATGTCAATAACGTTCAAAGTATTCATTTTGTAACTGACCATGGACTACAAAAATTGTAATAAGATTCTATTTGTTTGCTGTAAGAGACGTTTTATTTTTCAAATATATAAGTTTATAATTGGGTTGCATTAATCAATCTTTTAATCATACAATAGATGTAGGTAAATAAAAAAGTAATTAGGTATTTGGATAATTTCTTAATTTCCTGCAAAAAAAAAAGCGTTAAATATTTGACTGTTTTATATTTTGAAAAATGGATTAGGATTTAAAAGAAAGAAAATTATTATACAAGCTGCAATCAAATGTAGTACATACAATACAGCCTCATTATCCTCCAATAAACGACGTTTTTTTTTATGAAAGAGATGTGAAGAAGAGAGAGAGAAGCATGGACTTAAGAAGGTATAATACTCCAGCGGTATATCAAAACGGGATGCCTTATAGACCTCGCCTATACACGGACTTTTAAATATTCGGAAATCCACTGATCGAAGCCGAACTCGGCTTTTTTTCTGGGAACAGTGGTAACATTTGATGTCAACATTTCCAATAGCACTCCAACATATTTCAAAAGAATATAATTGGAAGAGAAACACGTAACGAACCCACCACTTGTTGGTTTTTAGCAATTTCTACGATTACATCAAGTAGCTAATAAGTATACATCATTGAATAAATAAAAAAACAAAATTGGTAATAGTCACATCTATGAAGTAAAGGTGGAACTAATCCTTAATCGCTGTTCTATGGCATATTCAATGTTTCGGAACTTCAAGTAACCAAATATAGATGGCAGCTTTTACAATTATTCATATATTTTGAAAACCAATGCATGTATAGTACCGGAAAAATACACGTAAAACGTGCTAATATACAAGAACTAATTCAGTTCACTTTGAGAGTAAATATTAATATGACGTTTGTACAAATATTGTTCGTTTGTTTCGCGCTCATCGTGACATCAGGTAAGATTTGAAAACCCATTGTAAATAGCTTTTTGATTACATTTAAACGATGTTTGAATTGAGACAACGCGCCTAACATCTTTATCTGTTTAAAACTACTTATATTTTTAGTTATCGTAACAAAATAGTTGCTAATTGTTGCCTAAGCGTGGTAATTAACACTATTCAAATTCATTATTGAATTACAGTTAATAGGCGATGAAAGTATTGAGCATTTTATGATTACTTCGTGACAGATAAACTGCATGCATGCATTAGTTATAGATTATGTAATATTGCTTTTTTAGTTTAATACATAAATATAGAGTTTAGAGCAGTTTCAAAGAATTAGTAAATAATGCAAAAATAATTAATAGTAAAATAAAACTTTATAACCATCTAGCTGAGTCAGCGAATTCGTACGCGTAGAATAGTTATTTGCGTATCATTTTTGTTTTTGCAAACCTCCTCTTCATGTATATAAATTTAAACTGTTACGGATCAGTGAAACGAACACAGAAATGTGTTCGCCCCACGATTGGGAAACGGGCTTTCACAGACCCACGACGTCATCCGCGTCCCGTCGTTCTTGCAAGTTAATCTTCATAAATAGACATACAATATGGCGGACATTGTTTTAGATTTAAAGAGGATTTACATTTGATTCTTTCATAGACATTTGTTTGGAATCTTGAACCATTTTTGCAATTCGCGAAATCGTATCTCCATTGGTTAAGGCAGCCGTACGGAACGCTGTTGACGCCGGTTTAAATTTGGCCCGTGTCGTCAATTTTTCAGTCTAAAATCGATTTTTAATTTAGATACATTACCATACATTGTCTCTGTAGAGATTTGAACTTACACTGTAAAGGGTAACTTACTTAATAACTAAAAATTAGTTTGCTTCCTTTATTTTTAACTTAAGAAATGCACGTCGCGATTGGATGTAATGTTCAGCTTTCATACAGGCTCATTTTTAATTACTTTGAATGGCGATTAATTTTCTCGCGGGAACAGATTTGTGTTCTTTTCGTTATAGATATAAAAGGAAAACTATAAACCCATGTTAAATGTTGGAAATTGGGTTTACCCTTAATGACTTAAGCATAGGAAATGATCTTGCTATTATTATAATTAATCACTTTTGAATTACCTATAATATTACTAATTAGATCGTGTATTTCGATTTTATTATATTCTATAACTAGCTTTATCAGCGACTTCGTCCGCGTAGATTAGTTATTTTGAACATTAAAATTTGATTTGCTATCTTCTTTGATTCGTTCGATTTAAGCTGTAGCCCACGAAGTCGTGTCACGTCGTTCTTGCAAGTTAATCTTAATAGATAAAGTATTACGGACATTTTTTTAGATCATTTAAAATTTGATGTCGACGATTTTATAAACTATAGCCATCTTCGATGAATGCTCTAACTAACACAAAGATAACATCTAAATTAAACAGACACAATTACAAAATTACTGTTTTCGTATATATACTGCAAGTATTAGGAACTTATTGAACTGTGTTTTTCAATTTCAGGTGCGAAAGAATGCGGTATAAACGAAGTTCTGGACGATTGTCCCGTCGACTGTCCTTACGATTATTGTCCCAAGAACGAACTTCAAGATCGTATTCCGTGTCCGAAGCCAAAGCAATGTCCTCCGGCGGACTGCAAATGCGGTTTTAATTACCGACGCGAGAACGGAACCTGTATCCCAACAACTGAGTGCCGTAAGTACAGGAACTAACGCTATGTAAATGGCTGACACCGTACATCAAGTGAACCCCACGCTTGAATGGTTTAAAACGTGTTTTAAACCGTTCTTGATTTTATACAATCAGCAAAAATTAATAACGTATTAAATTTTTTTATGTGTGTCCGACAAGCGTGTGCTTCACTCGATGGGAGCTGAAAACCCAGCTGTCGTCCTATTTTTGGATATTCAACAAGTATTTTCATGTATATCCTACACTACTACCATTTAATCTCCAGATTTCTACACGAAGCCCGACGTGTTACAAAAAATTATTAATTGAAAAATTAGAAACATATTAGACCTGGTGGGGAACGATCCCACGACCCGTTGATTACCCATACATTGCTACCATTAGACCAACGAACCCGCAAAATACTCTTTGCCCGTCCGTAAAAAGGCACTTTGTGTGATTATAAAATATCTTTTCAGCTGCCTTTCCATGCACTGGTCCCAACGAAATATACGACCCATGTCCACCATATTGCCCCGTCCAAGACTGCAGCTCCGCCACCCCAACTGCGGAGTGTCCATACTTCCTCTTCATCGTGGTAAATTGTTCTCCTAGCTGCCGCTGTATTGAGGGTTATTGGAGAAAGGATGGTAGATGCGTGCCTTATCACGAATGCTGTAAGTGATAAGAAATAACACACGCATTACATGCATTAAATATGTTTATACATTTAAAGTATTGTTTAATTATTTAAATAAAACACTCTAACGCTTTAAAACGCGATGTATTAGTTAAACTTATTTGAAAATGATTTTTAACTTCGGCCTGACGTTTCGGATACTTTGCAGCAGCCCCGGTCACGGGGAATCTCCCTGTTTTAAACTGTTAAAATGTTTTATTTAAATGAGTACTACTCGCGTAAACTATAGACAGTATATGTTAAATTGTTTTTTATTATAATATCAGGATAAACAGTATAAAGTAACTCGGAGTATGTAAATCAAAGGGTTAGTTTTCCGCCTGCATGATTTTCTTTACATTTTGCGAATACTGACTGCAGCTTACGCGAATATGTGTTTAAATGAAACACTGTAACTGCTTAATACGCGAAATTTCGTTAGCACATGTTATTCGTCGGCTATTTATAGTTTTGTTAAGATTTTATTATAAACTACCGGTGATGAATAGTAAAAAATTAAAAATTATATATTGTATTATGTTTCTCATATAAGTATTTTATAATCTTAGTGGGAAATAAATGTCTTTAAACCGAAATTTATTAATTTAGCAGCCGTGGTCACAAGGAGACCCGTGAAGCTTAACTAATATATTTAGCGCTTTAACTCGATTAAGTGGTTAATGAAAAAAAAATACACGCATTTATTTCTATATTTGGACACTTGCTTTCACCAATTATACTAATAACAGATTTTCATTGTTTCAGAATACACGAAGAAACTGTTTGGCATCAAAGTCAGCTGTTCTTTACCATTTAAAAATAATTATTAGATACTGTCTATAGTTTACGCGAGTAGTACACATTTAAATAAAACACTTTAACGGGTTAAAACGCGATATATTAGTTAAACTTATTTGAAAATGATTTTTAACTTCGGCCCGACGTTTCGGATGCTTTGCAGCAGCCGTGGTCCCAAGGCAAGGACCCGGCCAGTTTCGCCAAATACCAACTTCGACGGAACAGATGGCGCTAGCGTAGCAATTTTTTACTTTGACGTCAGAGACATCCTCCATTTTTAGTCTCCCCGTAACCACTGCTGCTGCAAAGCATCCGAAACGTCAGGCCGAAGTTAAAAATCATTTTCAAATAAGTTTAACTAATATATCGCGTTTTAAACCGTTAAAGTGTTTTATTTAAATTTTTATTAGTTTTCTCGAATAGTAAGTTACTAGTAAGACTATTTATAATATTTTGGTTTCATTAAAAGTAGAACATATTCGTGGATAAAATTGTTGCGTAATTAAAAGTACCTGTTATTTACAAATGATAGTATGATGATATTGAAGAAATAAAGGATGAAAAAATAAATTATTTTATTTCTAAATTAATACTTCACGGACGTGTCATTATATGGTATAATAAACTTGTTGTTACAAGTGAAATTTAATTGTATTTTTTTAATGTGAATATGAACAATAGACGAAATTAACAAGACCAGTTTCAAAAATAATACGAGACAATGATTACAAAATAGCAGATATAGCTAAAGAAATTACCGAATCAACTAATTTTGGAGTTTTTAAAATGCTTAGGGATACAAAGGATTTGATAGATTGTAAGATAGAAGAGATATAGGATACTGGTGAGGTATATTTCATTAGTCGATTTTATTAAGAAGCAAGTAGCACAATGTTACTTTGCCTGACCAAATTTTCAGAAATTGTATGGTTGAATGTTTTAGAAGTTAATAGATTAAATTAAAATTAAAATAATATTTAATATTTCATAACAATCGTTCAATTAAAAGATGCTACTGGAAAGAGAATTAATAGAAATAGAATTACTTCTACGACGAACAAACCCTAGACCAATGGGATATGAATGACTGCTTAGAATTGCCCAGTAAATAGTTAATCACTCCAAAGTAATGTTGTGATGCTTTAGGAGAAAAACGTCGGGTCAAGACTTAAAATAAATAAAAACGAATTTTGAATAATATATTTCGCGGTTAAACCGTTAAAAGTGTTTTATTTTTATCACGTGTCGTTGGAAAGTAATCGTTAAATTTCTTAACCGACGTTAGTATTATACGGTGAAATCGGGCCTCAATCACTAATAGCATTAAGTAACTGCCAAATAAGAATACTGTCCTCGTGTTCGACCACCTTTATCGGGCCATTAAAACTAAAACTGAATAGTTATAGTCGAATTAGTCACGATGAATATTCGTTGGAGTCCGTTTGTTTTTGTTATCCTCCTTATTTATGTATATAATGGAGAAGGTAAGTGACAATTTAATTTAATTTTTAATTATATTATAATATCTTATGGCAATGATTTTGAACATATTTTGTGATTAAAGTAGAAATAGTCTTTAAATAATACAGACATGTGAAAATATAATATTACGTAAGTATTACATAAACATTATTCAGTGTAAACTCTATATAACGACTCTGATGTTATAGTGTTATAGAGAATTGTCGTTACATAGAGTTTAAAATATATTACAATTTATATGAAATAAATAAATAGCGCTCTCGGACTTAAATAAAACATTGTTTTTCTGGCTGTTCGGCAGACGTGAGCGAGAAGAGGTTCTCGACGTTTCGCCATCACCCGTTTCAGTCACGATTGCTCGAAAAGTTACAAAACAATATATGCTGAACGACAGCCGTGAAAGCCTTACACAAATTATTAAATACTGTTACCTTATATGCCTTACACAGTTTATTATATACTTATTTTATACTATTTTAAATTTAGACCATATGTCTATACTTAATTTTAATTTAAATTTATTAAATTCTTCTTTTCTTTATCTCTTCTATTTCTTCTTATTTGTTACAATAATATTAACATAGTATTTTTGTAGCAAAACAGGCCGTCGAATGCGGCCCTAACGAAATGCCAAAGGAAAATCCACATGACTGTGTCCCCGACTGTTGCCCCATAGGGGAGAATGCCCCTTGCCCCAATCCATGCCAAGCAGGACCCTGTCGGTGTTCACTAATGAGTAGCCGCGCCAGAAACGGAACGTGTATCGATACAAGACACTGTCGTAAGTAAACGTCGACATGGCTAGCGATCCCTCTCATATATGGTAAGGGAAGGGACAACGCGATAAATAGTGACACAAACAAAGATATGTATGTAAAATAGTTATAGTGTATATCTATTAAAATGAATATTAAATTTGAAACATGACATGGGCAGAAAACGAATCACTTGATGGAAGCTAAATTACACAGGCATAACATGTAAATATGATACAATCTATTTCTCTTTTGGATATTCAGAAACCCACAGACTAAAACGGAAACACGATTATAGTTCAAAGTTTTTTCATCTGTGGATGGTGGTTGGAACCTGGACGGAATTTCGACATTCCTACCACCCATTTAATATCCAAATTTCCAGACTAAGTCCAACATTAAATACGGTCTATAGTTTATGCGAGTAGTACACATTTAAATAAAACACTATCGGCTTAAAACGGGGAGTCTCCCCGTGACCACGGCTGCTGCAAAGCATCCGAAACGTCGGGCCGAAGTTAAAAATCATTTCAAAATAAGTTTAACTAATATATCGCGTTTTAAACCGTTAAAGTGTTTTATTTAAAAGTCCAACATTTTTCAAAAAATTGATAAATCGATTAGAAAAATGGTCAAAATGATTCCTGAATTTTTACTGAGCTACTCTCGAAATAATTTCTTTGACCAATTTATAGGAGCATTCACCTGTAAAGTTAATATATTTTTCTAGCTCCTTTTAAATGTGGTAGAAACGAAGTGTACGACTCCTGTCCCGTCTGCTCAGAGTTGTGTTCCAATTCCTATCCCGGGACTAAACGCTGCAGATCCAGGTTCCATGTAGGCTATACGGTGATCTGTAAGCCAAAGTGCCGATGCATCGACTACTACTGGAGGAACAATCGTAATAAATGCGTACCTTATTTCCAATGTCGTAAGTATCATAATTGAATAAAAATCAGTTTTTTTTTAATCGAACGTGTGACCTCTTGTTTACTACCGCACATACTACTACTACTATACCAACGAGACCGTCAAGACGTTATTTTGTTTCTTACTTTATGATTGCCCAAAAAAGGGGAAAAAAAAAAGCGGCAAATAATGTCGGGCCTTTCTATTGTGTCCCTATAATAACTATTTTTTTTTATTTTTTAGCTCAATTTCTAGATGGATATCAAGAGGAATAGATAAACATCTTAATAAACAGAATTAAAAAAAAAAAGGATTTTATTTATCTTTTATTTTACACATTTATTGGGTAAAAGTTAAAAAATAATAAGAGTTCAACTTAATTATTAAGTAATAAAGTACTTTATAATTTAAAAATCGAAAAAATTGAAAAAATTTTCGATCGGAGGACTTGAACCGGATCGTATTTCCGTGCTGTTGCTCTCAAGTCCTGCCCGAGTCGAAAATTTTTTCAATTTATTTTCGATTTTTAAATTATATAGTGCCTTCATTGCAATAACATGTGAAAAATATTAATGTTTTCAAACATAATAAAGTACTTTTTAACTTATTACGAAAACAGTTTCCGTTCAGTTAATCAATACATACTGAATAAATTTAAGGTAGAGAGAGTTGCTAGTTTTGTTTCAATGAATATTTTTTATATTATTATTTACTGGCTGTGCCCGAAACTTTGTCCGCGTGGAATAGTGACTTTGGAATATAATATTTCATTATTTAGAAACAGCCTAAATAATGTTTATTTGTTTATAAAAGAGCGCATACAAGGCAGCCACAACACTCCCACTCTCACTCCCATTCCCAAAATGCCAAGGGAGAAAATGTAATTGTTCTAGTTTCGAAAATCACGAATTTCCAAACAAACTTTCATCGCCCTTTTCAGCCCTAACAACACTTTATTGGCATTAAAAAGTACTCTCTAGAATATCTGTGTACCAAATTTCATTTTAATCGGTTCAGTAGTTTCTGAGTAAAAGTCGATCAGACAGACAGAGTTACTTTCGCATTTATAATATTAGTATAGACTTAATTAAAAAGTTAAACTTTTCGTAATAACGATATGCAAAAATTTTATTATTATCCTCAATGATATTTCTTCTTGTAAGTCTATTCAACATTGGCACAAAGGATTAGAGGAAAAACTCTTTACTTTGACGTCAGAGATATCATCCAACTTTAGTATCCCCGTGACCACGCCTGCTGCAAAGCATTCGAAACGTCGGGCCGAAGTTAAAAGTAATTTTCAAACATGTTTAACTAAAATATACCGCGTTTTAAACCGTTGGAGTGTTTTATTTAAACTTTCATATGTTTCATAAATTTTTATTGAACATGATGGCATGGACATTTAAATTGTATTTAGATTTGAGTTTTATTAGTTTAATACAATATTTTATTAGAGAGGCAGCAAGGAAAGCTATGGATACTTGTATATTTTTTCTATTATCAATTTTATTAATATTTTACAATTACAATGCTGTCGAGACTCGAACTCAGGACATCATGTATTAATAGCAACGTTTTGCAAGGTGCTTAACCATTGAACTTCGAAGGCGGTAAAATCTGTGTTAGGTCATTTCGTGATTTTGAAGGTATTGGTTATACCAAAAATAGTTGCGAATATTATAAATAAGGCGATTACTGGTGTACTTTGTTAATCAAAAGTACAAGGATGTTACTTTTATTATTAACTTAATTTCGCTGCTTTAATGTAGTCTTTTAGACCCGCCACGCTGTTCGAATATGGATTGGCGGGCTTACAGTTTGCTATAAAATTAGTGACGTTAACATACTCTAAACTCAGAAACGTTAAATCCTAAAATATGAGACAAATATATGATAATCATGTAGAAACATTATTTGCGCGGAAAATTATTGAAGGCGTTGAATTTTTTCTATTTCGTTTTTCTCGAAATGTCTTTACCGTGCGTAAAAACTAATTTATATAATGTATACATCTTCACCTATGTAGCTAAATGTAATGTGTAAAACCTACTATTGCGTTTGAGAGAGGTTTGGAACCCTAGGAAACAATAGATTATTTCGTTCGGGCAGGCACAGAAGTGTTATCAATTACTTGGCTGTAAATAAAATCGGTCAGTGCAGCGGACACAGAAATGTGTTCGCCCCCATGGAAACGGTATATCACTTTATACATACCGTGCGACTGCACAAAATTATATTGTGTTTTTGCAATTATTTAAATATTTAAGGAAGGAGGAAATGCGCGGTTAGATATAAGTGTAGATTCTTTAGACTTAAGTAAATCTATTAAACGTTTGTCTAAAGTATATTTGGATAAATTAGGGAAAGGTTCCGTGCTCCCTCAAAGGCACCGTTAAGGGCTGGTGCTAAGTTTAGTGGCTTTGGTCGGCTCTTGTCTCCGAGGAGGGTGCAGTACGATTTACCTCACTCCCCACGTCACTATTGACCGACGTGGGCGTGCATTAGGCATTCACACATCACTAAAAAGGGGGAAGGCCTACATCGTGCGTACTTAGTATTTCTGTAACCGAATGTATATATGTTAGACCACATTCTCATTTCATCTCAGAACGGGTTTAACCGTGGGAGCAAAATGAAGTCATACGTTGTGTTTTATTGTATAGTTTTCCTGTATTGTGTTCATTCATTGGATGCTGGTATGTATAGGTTATATTTTTTTGCAGAACACCGATAAGTTAGGTAACCGATGTACTCTCGATATGTATCGTAAAGATTTACAAATATCTGTTTCGCAGGAAAAGGTTTTTCCTTTTCAAACATTCTTACAGAATAAATAATAATTATTACTTTAATATGTTTATCAAAATTCAACGTTTAAATAAAACACTTTAACGGTTTAAAACGCGATACATATTGTAAAACTTATTTTAAAATGATTTTAACTACGGTCTCCCCGTGACCACGGCTGCTGCAAAGCATACGAAACGTCGTGCAGTAGCATATAAAAGCTGTCCAAAATATGACATTAAGTGTCAAGTAACTAGGAAAAACCTACCTTTCTGCGAGCTATTCTGGCGTGCGCTGCCATAAACGTTAGTTACACATAATTATGTAATGTGTGATATGATAGACATCATTTAGTTTAAATGCGCGATACTAAACCTAATCCTGCGTAGACGAAGTCGCGGGCACCAGCTGGTATTAAATAAAATACAAACATATTAATTAATAACTGTAATAACATTGAATTGTAGGTACTTTATCTAACTCAGTAATTTACACTCATAACATCAATACGTCACAATATGTATGTATTATAATTTCTTGTTCATCTGTTTCCTGTTCTTTACGTTTTGTGTTTTCCCGGAATTCGAATCCAGGGTTTTTTTTTTAATTTTAAAATTGTAATACTAAAATTGTTCTAGTTAAAAAAAATAGTCTTAAACATCCGAAGTGTTCCCGTTTTAGACCGTTAAAAAGGGTTTTATTAAATGATCATAACCCGCGTACACAATAATAGATATTTTGTTCATTGTTTTACTTGTTTGCATTTACATTCACATACACAACATTATGAATTTCATTTTTTAATTTTAGTTTTGGTCCTGAAAATGTGAATTCAACTTCTTATTTATTCACATTTAATAAAAAACTTGGTTTAAAACATATTTAGTTAAACTTATTTGGAAATTATTCTTAACTTCGATTTCGGATGCTTTGCACAGTGGACGGAGACATATCTCTCGTGTCTCATTTTAGATTAGGTCTTTGAACGTCAACTTAAAAATATATACATTTTCGATTTTTATAATACTTACAGCATTTGGAAGGCTTTAGTAATTTTTTTCAGGGTGAACAGACACGTATGATGTTTACTTGATGGGAAGTGAAATTCCTGTCATATAACATCTACCCAAGATGTGTTGTCGACCTATTTTTATGCTGTGGATTTTAAGCCTCTGAAATTTTCAGATCCCATGCAATGTTATGGTCATAATGAAATCCTCGATTGCGTACTGCCTTGTCCACCTCAAAAGACATGTAAGAACCGCGAGCTCAAAATAAACTGTTTAGATGTTATACAGCCTTGTAGAACACAATGCGTATGCAAACCAGGTTTTCTTAGAAACGCAAAAGGAGATTGTGTGGAGGAAGAAGGCTGCGGTGAGTTTATTATAATGTAATAATTAATAGGCCAAAAACAATAGATTAAGACAAGAATCCCGGATTCGTACACGTGAAAAATTAAAAAGTCGTTTCGGTTGCGAAGGGGTTGGAAGAACGATCAACTTTTTTAATTAAACGTAAAGGTCTTCGTAAAGGGTCTAACCTCAAACGAAACTCAAACAGCACTATTTAATGTTTTACATTACCTACACAATACATATAGCTTTACAAACGTACTGTATGTGTTTGTAAAGTTTTATTGAACAATTAATAAAATTTGTTTGAAACCGTAAAATTTGTTTCATTTTAAAATCAAGAAGAGCTACGATCATAGGTTTGCGGTTTTCTAGTGATAACGGTTTGTTTATTGTTTGAAATCTCGTAATGATTCTTATTATAAATTACAGTCGAATGCCCGGGTAACCATGAATTCTTCTCCTGCGGGCCAGTATGTGATAACGAATGCTCTACTTTACATGAGAGGAATCGAACCAAATGCCCCATTTTAAACATCATGTGCAATAAAAAGTGTTATTGTAAAGATGGATATGCAAGAGATAAATATGGAATCTGTATACCGATAGAAGAGTGCCCGAAAGGTTGGTATAAAAAGATAGTGTAAGAAAAATAAAACATATGGCAATATTTTATTTAATTACACCACAGACTAATCCTACAATTTAAAAATATTATGTTGTGCAGCTTATTTGTATAGAAAAATAATAGATTTTAATAGATACTGCTCGAAATTACGTTACAATGAATGGAGCTGATAATTTCCTAATTTAGTACCTTTTAGTAAGCGATGAAAAGAGGGAAGACCGCACGGCTTTGTTGTTTAAAAGCTAAAGGTCATAAAGTTTATCTTGGATGTATTGATGATAATGCTATGACAAATATTTATAACGTCGCCGTTTTAAAGTATTATTAATATACCTTAGATGTAAACAATTGAAATGGTAAACTATTTTATATGAACTCTTAAGCCCTTGCATCTCGTATCGCCGCATTTTATGTTTTAGTATTTAGAAAAAATATAAATGCTATCCAAAACAAAAATTTGGGTTATATTTTTCGAACATTTAAAATCCTAAACCCCACTAGTCCCCGTTGCCCCTGTAAAATATCACTCAGAATAGTCACATCTTTCTTGAATAATACGATAACTAAATAAGTAAACATTCACACTATATGAAATCTTTTATTTTTGGTGTTTAATATTCTTCGGTTTCTAGTTTGCCCATCAAACGAAGAATTCACCAACTGCAAGAAGTCATGTCCTCCAGAGACTTGCATCTCAATTGTCGCCAAATTCAAATGTGACTCTCGTGAGGAATGTGTCCCAGGATGTATTTGTAAACCAAATTACCTGAGGAAAACAGCAGACGGTCCATGTTTACCTATAAGAGAGTGTCCACAACTTGACGGCTCGTTAGATTTTAGCTAAAATAAATTTAAGTAACGTTGTTAAAATTACACACGGCAATATTATTTTTCATATCTCCACCTCAGCTTGGAAACGATCACCTGTGGAAAACCTACGTGTATGTACTATGTATGTAACTAAAATGGAATATTACCGTAGATAATAATTATATAAAATATTGTAGTACTCGTATACCTATTGGAAATGAAACCACAGATAAAATATGTTACAACAATTTGAAGTAAACACTGAACGCATTGACATTTGACATAAGTAATAGAAAGTGCGGCAAAATTAACGACGTAGGTATTGAATAATGAAAACAATATCTGGAATGGAAATAACGAGTAAATTTTCACTCTGTAAAGCTCTAAAATTCACACGTTTTACATATTATAAAATGACTATTAGGAGTTCAAATTACTGATAAGCCATTAAAACAGATTTTTTCATTTACCTGTTGTTTTGTAAATATAACTGAAAACTTTATGGGCCTACCTAGTAAAATTTAAGTATGAAAACTTAGATATAAGACAAATTATGTTAATAAATATTTAAGTACTCAACTCAAAAAACAAAGGTGTCCTCAGTTAAACACAATATTACAGCAATAAATTATTTATTTATACAAAGCATTGCCTCAATTCACTATTCCAATATGGTAATACTTTTTGTCCTCATCACTAATGTCATTAGGAGCACCGGACAATGGGTCCTTGCCATCATGTGATTTTGGAAATGCAATAACATCCCTTATCGATTCTGTTTGACAAGCAATCGAGATAAGTCTATCTATTCCTAATGCAATTCCACCATGTGGTGGACAACCACTCCTTAAAGCATCCAGAAAGTGTGTCAATTTCTTAGAATCAATATCTAAAACTTTCAAGACCTTTTCTTGTAAATTAGTATTATGTATTCTTATAGAACCACCACCTACTTCATTTCCATTTAACACTAGATCATATGCCAGCGATCTCATTCTGGAAGGATCTGAATCCAGTAAATGCAAATCATCAGGGTGTGGTGAAGTAAATGGGTGATGACAAGTCTCCAAGCCATTTTCCCCTTTGACAAATAGTGGAAACTCTACCACCCATAATGGTGCCATTGTTTCTTCAACTGATAGTAGGGATTTTGACTTTAACAACACAGCTAGCATTTGCCGGATTTCACCTAAACATAAGCATACATTTTCCTTATCACCCAATGCTAGAATACAAGAATTTTCTCTACCTATTGTATGTCTTATATTACTTGTTATATCTTCTCCTAAGGCTTTTGATAAGTTCTCTACAAACACAATATTCACTTCATACTTATTTTTTAATTTGTTTATGATTTCTCTGTATTTAGCTGATAGTTTTCCTAATATTTGTGAATACGCTACTAGAAATGCACTTTTATCATTGAACAGATGAGAAACATTTCTCAATTTTAAATCATATGTTAAATCTGGTTTGTCACTTCCATAACCTTCTATAGCTTCTTTGTAGGTCATTCTTTGAAAAGGAGGTTTTGGTAATTGTTTAATAAATGATTCATAGAGAAGGTTCTCAATTAATGATAAAACACCATCTAATGAGGTAAATGACAACTCAATATCGAGTTGTGTGAATTCTGGTTGCCTATCAGGTCTAGTTGTTTCATCTCGGTAACATCTTGCAACTTGGAAATACCTATCAATGCCACCAGACATCAACATCTGTTTGAACTGCTGGGGGCTCTGTACTAGCGAGTAAAATAAACCCCTATGATGAGTAGGAACCACAAACTCTCTAGCACCACCGGGGGTCCGACAGAACAGTGTTGGTGTTTCAACTTCACAAAAACTATGCTTCTCAATAAGAAATCGTCGCATATTGTGCAGCATATTGGATCTTTGTCTTAAGTTGTATTGCATTTCTGGAAACCTTAAATCAATGTATCTATATTGAAGTCGGAGTTGTTTTTTTGGTTTTTGGTATTCGCGCAAGTTAAATGGTATTTTATCAACAGTGTTTAATATTTCTAAGTCAGTTATAGACACTTCAATCTCACCTGTTGTCATGGTAGGGTTGATCATGTTCTTAGGTCGTGCAGTTACTGTTCCTTGTATTTTAACAATTGTTTCAAGTGGAATACTGGATAGGTCAAATTTAGAATCAGTAGATATACACTGTATAAGGCCATACGCATCTCTGAGTAGAAGAAACTTTGATAAACGCACAAATTGTACCCAACCGCATAAAGTAACTTTTTCCCCAATATTACATGATCTTATTTCACCACAAGTGTGGGAGCGGTATGTAAATGTATTACTCCCCAATTTTTCATTTTCTTTACTCTCAAGGAGGGTTGTACTTATGAGCCTGCTATTAAAATTGTCCTTTGTTATTACGAACACTGTAAACACATTTAATGGTATTTTTCTTTCGAAAGATATTAAAGATTGCGCTTTTAACGGTATCTTTAATATTGTTGCAAGATTTCTCTTAAACATTTTGTATCCACATTTATGTTATTGGATATAATTTGTAAATATTTCTGCATGGAAGGGTTACGTTTGTTTTGAAATGTTGACTATGTGCCACATTTGACAGATACTGTAACTCATCTGGATTTATACTTTTTAAGCAATTTTCAAAATATGATTGCCATTAGAGATTTAAATACTGTCTGTAGTTTATGCGAGTAGTACACATTTAAATAAAACACCAAAACGCGATTTATATGCTTACTTATAACTTATTTCCAAAAAATAACTTTGAAGTTTAAAATATGTATATCACGTTTTAAACCGTTTATGCGTTTTATTCAAATACAGATTTATACCATTAGTCCAAAATAGAGATACCTACTTCAATCAAAATAGTTCATACCTATTGTATGGATATATAATATTAGCTAATTATTCACAAGGCAATGGTTGAAATGATACAAATATTGTCACATAAATCATGTTTATTAATCAGTCATCTTTTATCGTCCAAATAATTGCTTTCTCTCTGAATATATTGTCATATAAACCCAAGGAAGCAACTTACAGGCAACTTTACACGAGTAAATAAAGCCATATCAATTTCAGGTTGAGTACATACTATTGTACTATGATTTGGTCAAAATATCTAACAAAAGTAGTCAAATAAACTAAGTATAAAAGTCAAACACAAATAAACTTAATAAAAATCAACAAGTTTCATGTGCTTATGGCAACACTAATACAATATCCATAATTGCATTGGAATGTTAGATTGCACAGAAACATAACAAGATAAATATCAACCGTTTTAACTCATAAAAAGGATTGATATTTTGATACAATTATTGAAGTCTTAACAGCTAATAAATTCTACTCAAAAACTAATAGAGATGTCTTAACTCTGAACTAAACTCCTATCAAAGGCTTATTAAAAAGAAGAATATTCTAGAAGTAGGGGTTGGCAACTGGTAAAGAGTGGTGGGGGAAAAGCGAATAGTATTGAGGGTTGATCAATGGCTGCGAGGGTGGCTGCACCAACGAAGGGTACAAGATGTTCTGTTGTCCTAGCATTGCTATCTGCTCTACCTCCATTTGTAGTGTCTGAAAGGAAGATTAATTTAAATGTCACATTCTAGACACCTCATAAAATAAAACACCTTAACAGTTTAAAACCATATTTAGTTACTTATTTGAAAATTTTTTTAATTCGGCCATTTGGATGCTTTTGTGTAACTAATATATCGCGTTTTAAACCGTTAAAGTGTTTTATTTAAATGTGTATCGCGTAAACTATAGACAGAGCCTAACATTTTGCAATTATTATATAGAAAATAACCATAAAAATAAATACTAATAAGTTTTAAAATTATTAGCGAGTTAAAGTAAGATAATTAACTTATTTAGGAAAAAAGCTTTATTACCTTCAAAATGTTGAGAGCTAAAGATGCAGCTTCATATTGTGCTTGTTGCAAAGAAGAATATGCCATAGTACGGTAGGGCCCCAAGTATCTTGGGCACTGAAAAAGCGGTTGACCAACACTCGGCAACTCCACAAAACCAATCCACGTTTCTTTTCCAGTTGGATCTACACACTTCTCGTACTTATAAATAGGCTGTGTCCACATATATCTAAAACAAAAGGTTTTAATATAATACACATATAGAATAAGAGCTATAAAGAGAATGAGAAAAACATACCCTTTACAAATAGAGTCAAGGATAGCTGGCGCAGAAGAGATGTCTTGTCCATGAAACCCAACAGGTGTATTGAATGGGGAATGAACTCTGGACTCTATTCCTTCGTCATGGGGAGAGACAGCATATTCCTTCCTGTCCAGTTGCTGTTTATACAATAAGAGTGTTTGAGATAAGTTTAGACGTTTGAATTTCGCATTGCCCCTTACGCTCTTCTGCAATTTGTACACTTCGCGGTCAACAGGTCGAGCCCATTTTATTTCTACGCGACGCCCATCAATCTCCACATTTTGCAATTTCATCATTGCAAGCTCCGCGTCCTCGCGTTCGTTAAAATGTATAAATGCATAGTCTAAAATTTTCTTCAACCTCTCAACTTTCTTATTAATGGCCGATTCGAACGCCGCTTTTATAGTCTGGGGTGTCGTCTTAAGATCAAAGTTCCGAACGTATAATATTTTGACCTATGAAAAACAACTCTTATTTTAAATTTAACACTGTTTGAGACTGCCGCTCGAGTTAATGGAATTTACGAAACGCAGACAAATGCGGGTACCTAATTTCTGAATAAAACAAGTATTTAAGAAAAAAAATTAAATAACGCCAGCGATAAAATACAATTTGACGTACCATCTGCATTTTTTCCTCTTCGATTTCGGGTTCAGGATCAGCCCAGTCAACTTTGATGTCTCGACCCCAAAGCTTAAAACAGCCCGGAATCAGCGTCCTTCTCGCCATAGTCGCAGCACGATGAGAAGTGAACTCCACGAAGGCGAAGCCTCTGTTCTGGCTAGGAGTATAGCAGTTCTCATAGAGAACTACATTTACGATGTCAGCAACTCGCTTCGATAGTTCATTGAAGAGATCTTCTTTTGTTTTAGACCGCGGTATATTTCCAACGAAGAGGCGACGGTTGTCCACGGAAATTGTGACACCGATCCGATGATGCGGCCTTATCTCGTAATTGTCCAGTTCTCTCACTGCGGTCGCCGCATCTTCGGTCTTGGTGTAGGTCACGAAGGCATACCCCCTATTGGAGCCAGAGAAATCCATCATCAGTCGTAGCTCGTAGATTTTGCCGATCCTGGAGAAGACGGGCACCAGTTCATCTTCGAATATTTCGCGACGCAGTTTACCGATGAATACTTCACAGCCCCTGGGTGGGGGAGGTCCGACCCAGTCTGATGGAGGCCCGAATCTCCTTTGGCCGTTATGCTGCACTATGGGATACCCCGTACTCTTCATTAACTCCGTGAGTTTAACAGTAAGTTCACACTTTCGGGTTTGCATGTTAACGTTAACAATTTAAATATAAACTACAAGAATTATTGTAGAGTCACTTTCCAGTCCAACGAAGAATACGCAATTGAGCCTTGCCTTTGAGTGCCGCGTCGTTTTAAACTCTTTGTAAACGCCGACGAACATTTCGGCGGCTGTGACGTCACCACTAGTATGAAAATAAAATCGCGTAGAGTCCTTTTTTCTTTATTTTGTGTAATTAACCATATATATTATAATTGCAAAATTCTATAAATTTAAAACAAAATTTACGAAATATCAAGCAATCATTCGAAGTAATTGTTTTTTAATATAACATAATATAATAATTAAGTACTGAAATTGTTTTATGACCATCATTTTTTTAAATTTTGTAGCGAAAAATTCTAAATAGTGTTCCATCCTTTATTTTTAACTTCTTATTCGTGTAATTTATTAATCAAACCATTTAATTTTCGCCTTAAAGTTGAATAATAATTAAAAAAAAACAAGTAATATAGTAGGAGGAAGTAAATACTGATAGTTCCTGTTCTATAAAGTGTGTCTATTGAGTATTTAAATGATGAGAAAAGGGAAATCGAGGTGAAGAAATGTTACGAAAAGGTAAAATAAAACCAAGGAAAATAATTTCAGAATGTATTATACGATCACAGTTATAAAATCTTTTAAAATATACAGGCACATAACACCTAACGAGATACAATTCTTAAAACTATGTCATTTGTATATTTATTCACTATACATAAGTATTAAAAAAGCACATATTTACTCATGTACAATTAAAAAATCCTAAAGGACAATGGAGCAACATTGCTATAATTGATTTAAATTACAGAGGAAAAAGTATGGTAAGTTTGAAAATTTTAGGAGGCAAAGTAAATAATTGCAAATGACACATTATACAACACTTAAAACATTTATTACAATAGTTATAATTAAATAGGAATAAATGTTGTAAAGAGAAGGATATATTACGAAATGAAATGATTTATATATTTAAAAAATCTTTCAAATACAGTTTGGCACACGCTATTTTAAATTGTACGGAGGTACTAATGAATATGAATCTTATATAACATAAAAATATAGCTGAAAATATCTAGTTTATTTCAGATCTGTTAAGCTGGTATCTTAAATACAATTATGCCATCGATTTCGACTACAGAGGACAATATCAAACGCTTATTATATTGGAATGTTGTCAAATATCTAATTTCATTTGAAAGTACAAGAAATACAGTCTCATTATAATTATCTAGAATTTAAATTAAAATAATAGCTAATGTAGGCTTTTTGACTTCTTTTCTTCTTCTGACGACCTTTAATATTCTGCGTTTTTAAAACCGTGTTAAGACTAAGTACAGCTTGAAATAACTTTGCATCTTTATACTTAAACTTATTTGGAAATGATTTTAACTTCGGCCCGACGTTTCGGATGCTTTGCAGCAGACGTGGTCAGAGTTCAGTAAAATTTAATGGAATTATGATGGACCCTTGAGGATCGAACCCAACCCGTTGTTGATTAGCTTTCTATAGCAACCGTTATACTATCACATCGATCTGAAGCTTCTAAGCAAGTCTTACACATTGTATACGGCATCTGGCGGCCATTTTGCAAAGCTAGGCTTTCGAGGTATTTGTCGATTCGTCCACACGTAAGCTTTTTTTGGCAAACGTTCTTAAGTAAGCAAAGGCAGCTTGAAAACCCTAATAGTATTTAGAATCTTATTACGAGACAAGACGATTATGCTTTAATATAATAATTTATAACATTACAGTAGAGTCACGCCTACATTTCAAAAATCCTTTTCCATATTATGGACTAAAAACCCTTACATCTCCGAGTTATGATCTAAAGCCTTATTATCGTAACCCCTAGTCGTTGTAACGGATGCTGCGTCCGTGTCGAAGCTGGGATCGTTATCGAATTCCACTACCCAAGGCTGTTGTTCAGCAGAGCAGAAAATATAGTATATTATTGCGCCAACAAGATATATCGCGCTCGAAATGAAGCACACTATGCGCCACTGTTCAGCCGTCTGAAAAGAGAAATTAAAAGTAATTAAATAAAAGGCCAGAGTTACCCCCCAAGGGGCATGAGGCGAACACATTGATTGTAAAAGTATAATTTAATATTTAAATTTAACTTCTTTCAAATTATATTCTCAGTATTATATTATTAAATACTATTTCTGAAACCAGGCAAAAATGTCTTGTAAATCTAATTGTAAACTATTTGTGACTGCTTTAATAATATAGTATACCATGATCTATAGATCATTTCTTACCTTATCAGTGACAATAGATCCAGCTAGCGGAGGGCTGACTATGCCAGGCAGCGTGGCAATAGTGTTTGAAAGGCCCATGAGCACACTAGCGTGGGGGGGGCGCTATGTCTAGGTGGTTTACGCTGAAAGTTGAGAAAAATAATATAAAAAATTGCTATTTAAAAAATTCGTTAAATAATTCAATTATTTTGAGCATAATAAAACAAATAATGGTTTAGGCGCACGTGGGGCCATACTAAAAATAAGTTTATCAATATGTTTAAAAGTGGTTTATTTTAATCGACAGATCTCGTACTAAAAAAAGCTATGCATACAAAATCTTTACAAAGGACTTGGTGGAAGGCCAAATGTATAAGAATTAATTAAGATGCTTTATCGACCTATTTTTTCTTGATAAATCTGCTTTAAAGTTTCTGAATTTTCCATCAATGGACGGAATCTTGACAGACGAACCGGCCAAGAAAACCATATTGATTATAAACATATATTTACCTGAAACCCGACCAAGCAAAGCCTCCAAGACCGACAGCTATTGTAAGACAGACAATACAACCGACCACGCTAGTTGCGTAGGCTGCAGCGACCATGAATATAGTCTGGAATATACAAAAACATATATTTTAGTAAAAAAAAACACTAGTGTAACAATTCAGACCAGATAAACTAAGAAATGGTCGAGGTAGAGTCAAATTTCTCTTCGTCTCCTATGGCTATATATCCTCCTATACATGTATATCATTTTATTCAATTATCTATTCATGAATCAATATTTTTATATTCAATCACAAGTAGGCAGTGAATGTTTTCACACTAAGCTGATCTTAGTATAGTCTTAGTATGTCAAAATTTACTGAAATAATATGAATTATTTTTACTTAAATTCGATGTTTTTGATAAATATAGACAAAGTCTGGAAATTATAGCAGTATAGGTACAGCAAAAAAATAATTGCACAAACCCCCCTTTAATTTGTTTATTAAGAAGGAAACTTGCTCACTTATCTCTTTTACACTACCATATTAGTTAAGAAAAAAAAGAAATGTAAGTCAGTAACAACATATCTATCATTATGGTGAATTTCAAAATTACTGTATTGATATTCTAGAAGTTTTTTAGTTAACTTAAACAGTAGACATTTCTATTTCTATAATCTATACCCAAAAGAGTGCGTTATTATAGGAATTAAAAGAAGTTAATTAATCTATAGTTTTATCACCTCAAATAGACCTTCTACCACTCTGACCGCAATGAGTAGAGCTGTACTGGTGTGCGCCAACGGTGGAGTGAATAAGGTCATAAGCGACGTTGCGCCTACGCCGATAGCGAACATTCTGTAACATGACGTTTAAACTTGTAAAAAAAATTAAGAATAGAGATATACTGACCGCCTCTGTAGCCAAATGGTTAAACGCATTGGCTACCATTGCGTTAAGCAGTCCTGGGTTAGAATCCCAGGGGAATAACGGATCAGTGAAACAGACACAGAAATGAGTAATGCTATGACACATATTTTTAACGTCTTCTTAATAATTAGTATAGTATTATATAAATATACTTTATAGATAGAAATGCACTTTTATCACTGAACAGATGAGAAACATTTCTCAATTTTAAATCATATGTTAAATCTGGTTTGTCACTTCCATAATCTTCTATAGCTTCTTTGTAGGTCATTCTTTGAAAAGAAGATTTTGGTCATTGTTTAATAAATGATTCATAGAGAAGATTCTCAATTAATAATAAAACACCATCTAATGAGGTAGATGACAAATCAATATCGAGTTGTGTGAATTCTGGTTGCCTATCAGGTCTAGTTGTTTCATCTCGGTAACATCTTGCAACTTGGAAATACCTATCAATGCCACCAGACATCAACATCTGTTTGAACTGCTGGGGGCTCTGTACTAGCGAGTGAAATAAACCGCTATGATGAGTAGGAACCACAAACTCTCTAGCACCACCGGGGGTCCGACAGAACAGTGTTGGTGTTTCAACTTCACAAAAACTATGCTTCTCAATAAGAAATCGTCGCATATTGTGCTACAGCATATTGGATCTTTGTCTTAAGTTGTATTGCATTTCTGGAAACCTTAAATCAATGTATCTATATTGAAGTAGGAGTTGTTCTTTTGGTTTTTGATATACGCGCAAGTTAAATGGTATTTTATCAACCGTGTTTAATATTTCTAAGTCCGTTATAGATACTTCAATCTTACCTGTTGTCATGCTAGGATTAATCATGTTCTTAGGTCGTGCAGTTACTGTTCCTTGTATTTTAACAATTGTTTCAAGTGGAATACTGGATAGGTCAAATTTAGAATCAGTAGATATACACTGTATAAGGCCATACGCATCTCTGAGTAGAAGAAACTTAGATAAACGCACAAATTGTACCCAACCGCCAAGTAACTTTTCCCCCAATATTACATGATCTTATTTCACCACAAGTGTGGGAGCGGTATGTAAATGTATTACTCCCCAATTTTTTTATTTTCTTTACTCTCAAGGAGGGTTGTACTTATGAGCCTGCGATTAAAATTGTCCTTTGTTATTACAAACACTGTAACCACATTTGATGTTATTTTCCTTTCGAAAGATATTAAAGACTGCGCTTTTAACGGTGTCTTTAATATCGTTGCAAGATTTCTCTTGAACATTTTGTATCCACATTTATGTAATTGGATATAATTTGTAAATATTTTTGCATTTAAAGGTTATGTTTGTTTTGAAATATTGACTAATATGTGCTACATTTGACAGATACTGTAAAGTTGTCTGGATTCATAATTTTTAATGCAGTTAACAAAATATGATTCTAGCGCCGGTGTTACTTTTTTTTTATAGCCATTTAGAGATTTGAATACTATCTGTAGTTTACGCGAGTAGTACACATTTAAATAAAACACTAAAACGCGATATATATTAGTTGTAACTTAATATATACAACTTATTTCCAAATTATATTTAATTTTGAATATCTATCTCTAATTGAATATATATCGCGTTTTAAACAGTTTTATTTAAATATAGAGATTTGCAACATTAATTCAAAATAGGGATACCTACTTCAATCAAAATAGTTCATACCTATTGTATGGATATATAATATTAGCTAATTATTCACAAGGCAATGGTTGAAATGATACAAATATTGTCACATAAATCATGTTTATTAATCAGTCATCTTTTATCGTCCAAATAATTGCTTTCTCTCTGAATATATTGTCATATAAACCCAAGGAAGCAACTTACAGGCAACTTTACACGAGTAAATAAAGCCATATAAATTTCAGGTTGAGTACATACTATTGTACTAAGATTTGGTCAAAATATCTAACAAAAGTAGTCAAATAAACTAAGTATAAAAGTCAAACACAAACAAACTTAATAAAAATCAACAATAGACTTGCAACGAATAGTATATTCGGCAGTATACCGAATACCGAATATTCGGCGAGACCCCTGACCGAATAGCCGAATATTAGGCAAAAGTATTCGGCTGGATTTTTGCTCCAAAAACTTGTACAGACGTGATTGTTTCGCGCTCCTTTGTTTTGTTCTAACGTACTCGTTATTATTATGTACCAATTACTACTATTATAGTATTATTTATTTATTTATTTTATTTATTTATTTATTATAAAGACAATTAAAACGGCGATAGCCACTTACATTAATTGGATAGAAGTACACAATAGAATTACACTTAACAATAGAGTATGCATCAATTACATTAGGACAAAATTTAAAAATCAGACAATTCTCTCAGTATTGATGACCAGTGATCTGTGAAAAGATCACATTTGGGTCTTAACTTGAGGAGAGCGTTGAGTGAGGTTAAAATTCGTGGTATCGGCGAAAACGCGCGAGCAGAGGTGCGACCTCTCGGGACGTCAAAGAGATCGTGTCTTCTAGCGTGGCCATAGTTGTTCGGTACAAACAGTCGACAGAAGGCTTCCCTCAAATAAGTATCATCGATTTGGTTTCGAAACAACTTACAAGCTACAATTAATTGCCCACGAGATCTGCGACTTACAAGAGAATTAAAGCCAAGCTGTCCTAATAAAAACAAGGTAGGATACAAGTAGGGGTAAAAACCGTATTGGTGTTTGTAAAGAAACCGCAGAAAGGCTTTTTGGATCTTCTCAAGCATGAGTATATATTTTTCCTCGTGAGGGTTCCACCAATTATGTACCAATGACTACTTATATGATTATAACAGAAACAAAAATATGAATATATACGTAAGCAATCGATTTTAATTTTTCATTTTACCAATTATTTCTCTATGACAAAATATATTATTTAGGTATTCGTTATTCGGCCGAATAATATGTAGATATTCGGTATTCGGCCGAATATAATAAAAGCAGCCGAATAGGCCGAATACCGAATAGTAACCGAATATTCGTTGCAAGTCTAATCAACAAGTTTCATGTGCTTATGGCAACACTAATACAATATCCATAATTGCATTGGAATGTTAGATTGCACAGAAACATAACAAGATAAATATCAACCGTTTTAACTCATTAAAAGGATTGATATTTTGATACGATTATTGAAGTCTTAACAGCTAATAAATTCTACTCAAAAACTAATAGAGATGTCTTAACTCTGAACTAAACTCCTATCAAAGGCTTATTAAAAAGAAGAATATTCTAGAAGTAGGGGTTGGCAACTGGTAAAGAGTGGTGGGGGAAAAGCGAATAGTATTGAGGGTTGGTCAATGGCTGCGAGGGTGGCTGCACCAACGAAGGGTACAAGATGTTCTGTTGTCTTAGCATTGCTATCTGCTCTACCTCCATTTGTAGTGTCTGAAAGGAAGATTAATTTAAATGTCACATTCTAGACAAGCCTAACATTTAAATAAAACACTTTAACGGTTTAAAACGCGATATATTAGTTAAACTTATTTGAAAATTATTTTTAACTTCGGCCCGACGTTTCGGATGCTTTGCAGCAGCCGTGGTCACGGGGTTTAACTAATATATCGCGTTTTAAACCGTTAAAGTGTTTTATTTAAATGTGTACTACTCGCGTAAACTATAGACAGAGCCTAACATTTTGCAATTATTATATAGAAAATAACCATAAAAATAAATACTAATAAGTTTTAAAATTATTAGCGAGTTAAAGTAAGATAATTAACTTATTTAGGAAAAAAGCTTTATTACCTTCAAAATGTTGATAGCTAAAGATGCAGCTTCATATTGTGCTTGTTGCAAAGAAGAATATGCCATAGTACGGTACGGCCCCAGGTATCTTGGGCACTGAAAAAGCGGTTGACCAACACTTGGCAACTCCACAAAACCAGTCCACATTTCTTTTCCAGTTGGATCTACACACTTCTCGTACTTATAAATAGGCTGTGTCCACATATATCTAAAACAAAAGGTTTTAATATAATACACATATAGAATAAGAGCTCTAAAGAGAATGAGAAAAACATACCCTTTACAAATAGAGTCAAGGATAGCTGGCGCAGAAGAGATGTCTTGTCCATGAAACCCAACAGGTGTATTGAATGGGGAATGAACTCTGGACTCTATTCCTTCGTCATGGGGAGAGACAGCATATTCCTTCCTGTCCAGTTGCTGTTTATACAATAAGAGTGTTTGAGATAAGTTTAGACGTTTGAATTTCGCATTGCCCCTTACGCTCTTCTGCAATTTGTACACTTCGCGGTCAACGGGCCGAGCCCATTTTATTTCTACGCGACGCCCATCAATCTCCACATTTTGCAATTTCATCATTGCAAGCTCCGCGTCCTCGCGTTCGTTAAAATGTATAAATGCATAGTCTAAAATTTTCTTCAACCTCTCAACTTTCTTATTAATGGCCGATTCGAACGCCGCTTTTATAGTCTGGGGTGTCGTCTTAAGATCAAAGTTCCGAACGTATAATATTTTGACCTATGAAAAACAACTCTTATTTTAAATTTAACACTGTTTGAGACTGCCGCTCGAGTTAATGGAATTTACGAAACGCAGACAAATGCGGGTACCTAATTTCTGAATAAAACAAGTATTTAAGAAAAAAAATTAAATAACGCCAGCGATAAAATACAATTTGACGTACCATCTGCATTTTTTTCTCTTCGATTTCGGGTTCAGGATCAGCCCAGTCAACTTTGATGTCTCGACCCCAAAGCTTAAAACAGCCCGGAATCAGCGTCCTTCTCGCCATAGTCGCAGCACGATGAGAAGTGAACTCCACGAAGGCGAAGCCTCTGTTCTGGCTAGGAGTATAGCAGTTCTCATAGAGAACTACATTTACGATGTCAGCAACTCGCTTCGATAGTTCATTGAAGAGATCTTCTTTTGTTTTAGACCGCGGTATATTTCCAACGAAGAGGCGACGGTTGTCCACGGAAATTGTGACACCGATCCGATGATGCGGCCTTATCTCGTAATTGTCCAGTTCTCTCACTGCGGTCGCCGCATCTTCGGTCTTGGTGTAGGTCACGAAGGCATACCCCCTATTGGAGCCAGAGAAATCCATCATCAGTCGTAGCTCGTAGATTTTGCCGATCCTGGAGAAGACGGGCACCAGTTCATCTTCGAATATTTCGCGACGCAGTTTACCGATAAATACTTCACAGCCCCTGGGTGGGGGAGGTCCGACCCAGTCTGATGGAGGCCCGAATCTCCTTTGGCCGTTATGCTGCACTATGGGATACCCCGTACTCTTCATTAACTCCGTGAGTTTAACAGTAAGTTCACACTTTCGGGTTTGCATGTTAACGTTAACAATTTAAATATAAACTACAAGAATTATTGTAGAGTCACTTTCCAGTCCAACGAAGAATACGCAATTGAGCCTTGCCTTTGAGTGCCGCGTCGTTTTAAACTCTTTATAAATGCCGACAAACATTTCGGCGGCTGTGACGTCACCACTAGTGTGAAAATAAAATCGCGTAGATTCCTTTTTTCTTTATTTTGTGTAATTAACCATATATATTATAATTGCAAAATTCTATAAATTTAAAACAAAATTTACGAAATATCAAGCAATCATTCGAAGTAATTGTTTCTTAATATAACATAATACATATAATAATTAAGTACTGAAATTGTTTTATGACCATCATTTATTTAAATTTTGTAGCGAAAAATTCTAAAGTGTTCTATCCTTTATTTTTAATTCTTATTCGTGTAATTTATTAATCATACCATTTAATTTTCGCCTTAAAGTTGAATAATAATTAAAAAAAAACAAGTAATATAGTAGGAGGAAGTAAGTACTGATAGTTCCTGTTCTATAAAGTGTGTCTATTGAGTATTTAAATGATGAGAAAAGGGAAATCGAGGTGAAGAAATGTTACGAAAAGGTAAAATAAAACCAAGGAAAATAATTTCAGAATGTATTATACGATCACAGTTATAAAATCTTTTAAAATATACAGGCACATAACACCTAACGAGATACAATTCTTAAAACTATGTCATTTGTATATTTATTCACTATACATAAGTATTAAAAAAGCACATATTTACTCATGTACAATTAAAAAATCCTAAAGGACAATGGAGCAACATTGCTATAATTGATTTAAATTACAGAGGAAAAAGTATGGTAAGTTTGAAAATTTTAGGAGGCAAAGTAAATAATTGCAAATGACACATTATACAACACTTAAAACATTTATTACAATAGTTATAATTAAATAGGAATAAATGTTGTAAAGAGAAGGATATATTACGAAATGAAATGATTTATATATTTAAAAAATCTTTCAAATACAGTTTGGCACACGCTATTTTAAATTGTACGGAGGTACTAATGAATATGAATCTTATATAACATAAAAATATAGCTGAAAATATCTAGTTTATTTCAGATCTGTTAAGCTGGTATCTTAAATACAATTATGCCATCGATTTCGACTACAGAGGACAATATCAAACGCTTATTATATTGGAATGTTGTCAAATATCTAATTTCATTTGAAAGTACAAGAAATACAGTCTCATTATAATTATCTAGAATTTAAATTAAAATAATAGCTAATGTAGGCTTTTTGACTTCTTTTCTTCTTCTTGACGACCTTTAATATTCTGCGTTTTTAAAACCGTGTTAAGACTAAGTACAGCTTGAAATAACTTTGCATCTTTATACTAGTAAATAAAACACTTTAACAGTTTAAAACGCGATATATTAGTTAAACTTATTTGGAAATGATTGATAACTTCGGCCCGACGTTTTTGCAGCAGCAGTGGTCACGTGGTCAGAGTTCAGTAAAATTTAAAGGAATCATGATGGACCCTTGGGGATCGAACCCAACCCGTTGATGATTAGCTTTCTATTGCTACCGTTATACTATCACATCGATCTGAAGCTTCTAAGCAAGTCTTACACATTGTATACGGCATCTGGCGGCCATTTTGCAAAGCTAGGTTTTCGAGGTATTTGTCGATTCGTCCACACGTAAGCTTTTTTTGGCAAGCGTTCTTAAGTAAGCAAAGGCAGCTTGAAAACCCTAATAGTATTTAGAATCTTATTACGAGACAAGACGATTATGCTTTAATATAATAATTTATAACATATTACAGTAGAGTCACGCCTACACATTTCAAAAATCCTTTTCCATATTATGGACTAAAAACCCTTACATCTCCGAGTTATGATCTAAAGCCTTATTATCGTAACCCCTAGTCGTTGTAACGGATGCTGCGTCCGTGTCGAAGCTGGGATCGTTATCGAATTCCACTACCCAAGGCTGTTGTTCAGCAGAGCAGAAAATATAGTATATTATTGCGCCCACAAGATATATCGCGCTCGAAATGAAGAACACTATGCGCCACTGTTCAGCCGTCTGAAAAAAGAAATTAAAAGTAATTAAATAAAAGGCCAGAGTTACCCCCAAGGGGCATGAGGCGAACACAATGGTTGACATTGCACTTATACTTTTAATAAGTTTGCTTGATGATAAGTGCCAACCGCACCCAATAAAAGAAAAAGACCCACTGTCGACCTATTTTGACTTTGGTTTCGAACGACTGCCACCCCCATTTATTATCCAATATCCAGACGAAATCCAACATGATTCACAAATATAAATTAATATAAATTTAATATTGGACCCGCCGGGGATAAATTTAACTTCTTTTTCAAATTATATTCTCAGTATTATATTATTAAATACTATTTCTGAAACCAGGCAAAAATGTCTTGTAAATCTAATTGTATACTATTTGTGACTGCTTTAATAATATAGTATACCATGATCTATAGATCATTTCTTACCTTATCAGTGACAATAGATCCAGCTAGCGGAGGGCTGACTATGCCAGGCAGCGTGGCAATAGTGTTTGAAAGGCCCATGAGCACACTAGCGTGGGGGGGCGCTATGTCTAGGTGGTTTACGCTGAAAGTTGAGAATAATAATATTAAAAATTGCTATTTGAAAGATTAGTTAATTAAATCAATTATTTTGTGCATAATAAAACATAATGGTTTAAGCGCACGTGGGGCCATACTAAAAATATGTTTATCAATATGTTTAAAAGTGGTTCATTGAAATCGACAGATCTCGTACTAAAAAGAGCTATGCATATAAAACCTTTTATGACAAAGGACTTGGTGGAAGGCCAAATGTATCAGGCCTATAAGAATTAATTAAGATGCTTTATCGACCTATTTTTTCTTGATAAATCTGTTTTAAAGTTTCTGAATTTTCCATCAATGGACGGAATCTTGACAGACGAACCGGCCAAGAAAACCATATTGATTATAAACATATATTTACCTGAAACCCGACCAAGCAAAGCCTCCGAGACCGACAGCTATTGTAAGACAGACAATACAACCGACCACGCTAGTTGCGTAGGCTGCAGCGACCATGAATATAGTCTGGAATATACAAAAACATATATTTTAGTGAAAAAACACTAGTGTAACAATTCAGACCAGATAAACTAAGAAATGGTCGAGGTAGAGTCAAATTTCTCTTTGTCTCCTATGGCTATATATCCTCCTATATATGTATATCATTTTATTCAATTATCTATTCATGAATCAATATTTTTATATTCAATCACAAGTAGGCAGTGAATGTTTTCACACTAAGCTGATCTTAGTATAGATCTTAGTATGTCAAAATTTACTGAAATAATATGAATTATTTTCACTTAAATTCGATGTTTTTGATAAATATAGACAAAAAAATAATTGCACAAACCCCCCTTTAATTTGTTTATTAAGAAGGAAACTTGCTCACTTATCTCTTTTACACTACCATATTAGTTAAGAAAAAAAGAAATGTATGGTTGGTTTTAAAATCTAGTTCTTCAGCAAAATATAAAAATTTTAAATTGTTATAAATAAAAAATAGATTGTTTTATATCGGGCAGAGCGCATAATTCTTATCATCTTAGACACAGTAATGTGTTTGCCCGGCAGGTAGAGTATAGTACATTTGGCTCTATATTTATTTTTGGGGTTAAACAAATTGATGTCGATGAGCACTTATGTTGATACGGTCAGTAAGAAAAAGATGTGGTAAGTACATATATTTATAGAAAAAAAAATCTTTACAATAATTTTGCACTACAAGAATAAACTCATACATTTTAAACAAACCTGTGATAAGAAAGCACCGCAGTTAAAAAGCTTTCTGATGTTGCTCCTAGTCATGACGCCCATGCGCAGAAGCCAATCGGCCATGTGGCCAGCTACTTGGAGTACTATGGCCATGGCCAGATATGGCACAGCTGATAGCCAGCCTGTCTGCGACGTTTCGAATTTAAATACATCTGGAAATATTGTGAGGAAATTTATGTTTAACATAATCTACAATTAAAATAAAACACTAACGGTTTAAAACGCGTTAGGCATTAGTTAAACTTGTTTGAAAATTGTTTTAACTACACACTTGCTTTGCAGCAGCCGTGGTCACGGGGAGACACGTTTAATTAATATATATCGCGCTTTAAACCGTTAAAGTGTTTTATTATAATGTGTATTACTCGCGTACACTACAAACAGTATATAATTCAGTGTTGCAATGAACCATTGATCACACATTTTATTGGCTAGCTGGGTATTGGCAGATGTCAAATACGGCTCTATAGGAATTTAGCACATTACATTTTTTTTAATTTCTAAAAGATTACTACCAAATTTATTCATGAATAAACATTCAGACGTTGGTCTTATGGTACCAATGTATGGCTGATAATCAATGTTTCTGGTAATCTGGATACTAAATTGATGATAGGCATATTGACTTTTCGTCCGGGTCAAAAAACACCGTTCGTATACGAACTGAATCGCGATTCGTTTTTCAAACAAAAGTATAGTTACGAAATAGAAAGAGCAACAACACGGTGTCTTGTCTTTGTCGGGTTCATGAATTATTATTTTATTTAGACCTTTTTTCTTATACCATCTTGTAGTGTAGAACAGTTTAAACTTATACTCCCGTGTTTCGGGTACCAGAGACTGTTGCGTATAACAGTTTGGAAAGTATACGCGAATGTAGATAGATAGTTGTTAGATAAATGTTAAGATTAAATTAAAGATAAGTTTAAGAGGGAGGCGAAGGTAACCAAACCCAATGAGTGCTGTAGTGCAACTGATTTATTTCCTATGATATTTGTTTAAAGATAATTTACAAGAAAAGTGGAAAATAGGATGCTCACTTAGCTAACCTTGTAAATTTGCTTTTAATATAAACATTGAAGTGAGCACGACGTTGACATAGATTTAGAATTATGCTAGCTATGCTATAAAATAATATTATAATAAAAATACAAGAAATTTGTACGGGCGTTTGTTCGTATACATCTACTTTACGAAGGAAGGAAATTTGTTTCACCTTGCATGAACGTAGGTAGGAAGGTCAACAGTGTGTAAAAACCCCAATTTTCACTGAAATGCGCCATGACGATAGCCCAGACCGGTCCAGAGGTGAGCATAGCACGCCACGGGTGTCGAATCTTCGAACCTTCTACCGCTTGCGTGCCACGTGAGTCCTGAAAATACCATTGAAATATATAATAGTAACAAAGAAAAGAGATGGCGCTAGCGTAGCAGATTCCATTTGATATTTAGGACACCCGCAATCTTTAGTCCCCCCGTGACCTCGACTGCTGCAAAGCATACATACCATGAAACTGAGATTTTTTTTAAGATAAAGAGGGGGACAGACTTCGCATGGGGTTCACTGATGTTAAGTGATATACCCTCAGCCTATAACATATAAACAATATGTGCTGTCGACCTTTTTTGGCTTTGGGAATTCGGAAATCCACAGACTGAAACCAAAACACGATTAACCTTCATGGCTTTTTCATCTGTGATTCGTGACCCGGACGGAATATCTATATTCCTACCACCCATTTGATATCCAGATTTCCAGACCATGTCCAGCATGTTGATCCATCCTGTTGATCATTAGCCATACGAATTACTGCAGAAATAACTCGTGTGTCTTTACCTGGTTTTATTATGGGATCCCATGTGTTTGGTATCTTGAAGATTACATTTAAAATAGCTGAAGTAATACATGTCGTGTTTTAAACCATTACATATATAATAAACTTTTGTATTTAACCTGAATGTACTTGAGTTCGGCCGCTGTTATATGTGGGTCTTTCTCTGGCGAATCCTTGACCACAAGCCACCAGATAGTTGTCCAAACTAAGCCCATTATGCCTGAAATTTGAATACAAAGGTTGTTAATTCATATTCTAATCACAAAATAGTAAGTTTAACTAATATATATCGCGTTTCCACCGTTGAAGTGTTTTATTTAAACACAAAATAGTATTTAACAAGAGCGAAGAAACAACGGGAAATGTTAAAAATAAATTAATGATTTATATTTGTTTCAAACGTAACAATGTTTAGTAGTTTGCACAGGACGAAACGTTTCAAGTGGCTGAGATAGATAAGAGGGAAAAAGCTATCTATCGCCGCTTAGGCATAGATAGCCTTTAACCACAATTATAAAACGCTAACTAGAGATAGATAATATCTTACTTTTAATCTGGGATTAGCATCCTTATTATATATCCTTATCTCTCGATAGGTTATTGAAAACGGCGGTTAGTGGCCCTTAAAGACAATGCGTGCGTACACGTACGTAATGCTGCTCATGGTAAGTTGCTCTTAAACATATTATTATGAGAAACTTCTCCTCTCTTCTCTTCTCTACTTACCGAATACATAAAAGATGCCTGGCCAGCCAGTGTAGTGGGCTAGCAGAGAACATATGGGCATAGACACGACGGTACCAACGTAACTACCACTGAAGGCGAAGGTAGCCAACCTAGCTCGTTCATCACTTGGTGCCCAACGAGACCAAACTGCGTGTATGCACGGGTATGTTACTCCCTGGAATTTGTGAGAAAGGGGGGGGGGGTTAAATTGCCTCTATAGTTCAATAGTTAATCATGTAGCCTGGCATTAGGTTTAGCAACTAGGTATGTATCCCGGCGAACCAAAATTGTTGGTCTAGGAAGTCTGATCACAGAAGTGGGAGGAAATAGCATTACCATTTTGTATTATTGAACTTATTGGAAAGAGGAGTGTTTGGATTTTAAGATTTTCCTAAGATTTGTAGGGCTCTATAATATAATCTTGCTGCAACAAATAAAAGAAAAAACTCAGACTAGAAAATAAAGAAAAATCACGTTCTTAAGAGTTTTGTTACTTTTAAGCATATCATTATGGTGAAATTTAAAATTAGTGTTTATGATAATTTAGAAATTTTTAGTTATCTTAAGCAGTAGACATTTTTATGTTCTATAATCTATACCCAAAAAAGTGCGTTATTATAGAAAAAATTAAAAGTGGTTAAGTAATCTATGGTATTGTCACCTCAAATAGACCTTCTACCACTCTGACCGCAATGAGTAGAGCTGTACTGGTGTGCGCCAACGGTGGAGTGAATAAGGTCATAAGCGACGTTGCGCCTACGCCGATAGCGAACATTCTGTAACATGATGTTTAAACTTAAGTAAAAAAAAAATAAGAATAGAGATATAGTGACCGCCTCTGTAGCCAAATGGTTAAACGTATTGCCTAGCATTGCGTTAAGCGCGAGAGGTCCTGGGTTCGAATCCCAAGGAAACATGAAATTGTTTTGGTCGGGCAGGGCACAGAAGTCTGATCAACTATTTGCCCCTTAAAATAACGGATCAGTGAAACGGACACAAAAATATGTTCGCCCCATGCCCCACGAGGGGAAACCGGTTTTCACTTTTAATCTTCTTTAGTGTAATCGAGTGTTCAATGATTATACAAATGATCTATTAACAAATCACAAAATTGCGTAGACAATCCGAAATAATCAGTAACAGTAATTATGTATAGTTACTTAAACGTGTGGCACATGTTACAAGTCTTAGCCGTTTAAAACGCGAAAATTTGATTAATTGAATTTATCTTGCCCGACATTTTGGTTTTTAGAAGTTAAAAACATGCTTTCACCACGTCTTTTGTTTTGCCGTCCAAAGATTCCTTTTTCTCACAGAAAGGTAATTTTCTCTTTTTTTAAATTTCCCGCCTCGGTATTTCAATGGGGGGAGCACCGGCCCGGGGCGCGGCGGGGGCGGGAAACCGAGTCGAAAATTAAATTTTTCAATTTATTTTCGATTGATAAATTATAAGGTAAAATTAAGCTTCAAAATTAAAAAGCATACAACATCAAATAACAATGCTTTGTATTAAGATCAAAATTACATTGACGACAAACATGCAATAAGGAAATGAACGTTTTGACACAGAGTTCATTCGCTGACACACAATAAGTAGTCGTGCGTTCGACTCCCGCCCAGGCGGTGATTTTTAAATCTTACATTAAGGATGCACTCATGGGCACTGCCATGTAAAATATAAATGCACAAGAACAATTTTTGTTTTAGTACAAGGAACGAACCTGTTACCTCCTATTTTAGCAGCCAGCCACCCTCCTGGCAATTGCGTGATGATGTAGCCATAGAAAAAGGAACTTAGAACCAGCCCCTTTGTTTGTGAGCTCCAGTCGAATTCTGGGACCTGTAATGTTAAATGTTAATAGTTATTAGTTAATATATACATTCAAAAGGCTATCAAACAGTGTACGTTCAAATAAAACACTTATAACCGGTTTAAACGCCAAAGGTATTCTATTTGGATGTTATGCCGGGTCAAGGGGGGAATAAAGATGGAGGGTGTCCCTAATGTCAAAGTTAACAATCTTCGACGCTAGCGCCACCTTATTATTCGTAGTTGGTATTCGGAAAAAATAGCTGGGTCCTTACAGAACTGAGTCACGGTACCCGTTCGTTTCTCGGTATGCCGCACATTTCGCGTATTATACAGTTAAGTGTTTTATTTCAATTAGTTTGTAATTTCATTTTTATTGTGTGCGTAAAATACAGCTTTATTTTATGTTAATAATCAACTATAGAGAATTTTATTAAAATTGATTCGAACTATTTGGAAGTTTAATACTAAGTCACACATCGTGTCGGGTCCCGTGGGTCCAGCATTTTTCTAGTCGATTTATATTTTTTCTGAACATCTTATTAGATGTTATGAAGTAAGACCCACGCTAGTCTGTACTCTTCTACCAACATTATTTACTTCAGGAAAAATGCAGTAGACTGCTTGACTGTAAACTAGACTCAACGATAGTATATTCGCAGTAACCGACGATTTCGGCGAGACCCCTACGAATAGCCGAATTTAGGCAAAATATTCGGCTGGATTTTTGCTCCAAAAACTTGTACAGACGTGATTGTTTCGCGCTCCTTTGTTTTGTTCTAACGTACTCGTTATTATTATGTACCAATTACTACTTTTATATTTATGTCAACTCTTATTTAACAAAACAAAAATATGATATATACTAAATCGATTTTAATTTTTCATTTTACCAATTATTTCTCTATGACAAAATATATTATTTAAGTATTCGTTATTCGGCCGAATAATATGTAGATATTCGGTATTCGGCCGAATATAATAAAAGCACCGAATAGCCGAATACCGAATAGTAACCGAATATTCGTTGCAAGTCTACTGTAAACTAATCAATGGATGGAATGTGTCATTATAGAATTGGGACTGCCAAAGACATTCACGTTTATGGTGTCATACTCACATAAACTATAGTTCCATTGTCCAGTACTTTTTCCATGGGTTCTGTCATAGCTACGACCGCGACGGATAAGTTCACCCTCAGCGCGTAGACGTTGAAGAAGCCAAAGAATGCGAGCAAAGCGACCACCAGCCGTCTCTTCCTCCAGAAGCGCCATGACGTCTCACCGCCGTATTCTCTTATTCTTTCTCTGAAATTGAAAAGGTAGACATGTAGTCAGTATAGAAACGGCAGGTGGTTTAGATTCGGACGGATTAGAATGTTGAGCAAAATGAAGTTCAGTACTGAAATATTTTTTTACATGTTATTGCACATGATGCACCAACTTAGTTCTGTCGGAGTATCTTTGTTTCAGAGACCTCGCGGTCTCTGTGATGCTGCCCACTTTAATGAGGAGTTACAGCATGTCAAGCAGGTCCTATGCAAGAACTAAGTTGGCTGGGGTGGTGATGTGAGTCACAGTTCAAATACCTATCCGTATGGGTGGTTTTTCTAAAGACGGTATGCCCGATATTACCGTGTTCGTCACGAATTACTAAAATGTCTAAGAAAGGTAGTGTGTTATTGTCCTCCTAGTCAATTCTGTAAAGACCCGGCCAGTTTCGCCAAACCAAGCAAGTTTTTACTTTGACGTCAGAGACATCCTCCATCTTTAGTCTCCCCGTGACCACGGCTGCTGCAAAGCATCCGAAACGTCGGGCCGAAGTTAAAGATAATTTTCAAATAAGTTTAACTAATATATCGCATTTTAAACCGTTAAAGTGTTTTATTTAAAAATATATATCCAAGCAAAAAATTTAAATTTTAAGTTATTTGGTTGTAACCATGGCAACGGTATTTTAAATTAAAAATAAATTTCAATGGCGACATATTACCAAGCAAAACATGGCGCCCGGTTCCCGTTCTTAAACTTTTAAGTAACCTTTGAGGTATTTATTTGAAACCATCCAAAAAAACTTAATCTATCTACAAGTATGAAAAAGAAAAACTATTTTTCTCATTCGTCTCAAATCAAAATCACAAAACATTTATTCATGTAGGTAGCTACCTACTACCTACATGAATAAATGATACCCACTAAGCTTAGTACACTTATGAACGTCAAAACTGGTAAAAATTCTAAATTTACAGTTACTACCAGTTCCCAAGTTAGGGCGTAGGGAACGAGAAGAACTGGCAAGAAACTCGCCGCCACTCCTTTTAATTGCCAAATTTTTTTATTACATTTCCTTATATTCCTTACGCACTCATTGTACTTGTTGTTCCTTTTTTTTCCTTGATAGATCGTTTATCATTTAAATATTCATTTACGTTATAATAACCCGTTCCAAGCAGTTTTCGTTTAACATACGGTTTAAACTTATTTATAATACCTTTCTTTCTCAGTTTATTCGGGATCGATTACCCGCAACCACCACTGTGGTTTGCGTTTAACCGTTTTCAGGCTTGGTGACATTTCAGGGTCCCAAGGGCATTTCAAATTTACGACCACTAAATTTCGGATTACATAGGGGAAATGTATCACGACGTCACAATCTTATTAGCATTTGAGATTTTCTTAAAGTATATCCCGACAAGGATTTTTGGTCGATGTGTTTACATTTCCTTAATTATTGTACTACTTAATATTATAAATATAAAGGGTTTGATTTTTAAAAGTTTAGGTTAAATTTTAGTAATTAGGTAAAATTTCGTGTTAGTTAAAGCATTTATCGAGGAATGCTTTATTTAGGCTATAAAACATCAGCGAAGGAATAATAGAAAATAAACGAAAACAAAACGGGATTTACTCCGTTTTTTTTTTCAACTTAGTGGCGTTCCGTTGTATTCGCTGCGAAAACGGTTCAAGATCAAAACGATCTAAAAAATGCGACATTATATATATATACAAGTATTTATTAAGATTAACTTGCAAGAACAACGACACGCAGACTAGTTGGTAACAGCTAGAATTTATAAAGATGAGGAGGTTTGATAAAACAAATGTTGCCCTAAAAACTCAACGAGCAAAGCCGTAACCACAGCTAGTCTTTCCATACACGTGGTGCAGATAGTCTCTAGTCGTCACACTAGGGAAATCTGTGTCATGGGTGACTAGTCTCTTCCAGGTTTATACAAACAATAAATATATTAAAATGTAAAACTAACGTAGTAGGTAAAAAGGGTAAACTAATACATTTTGCGTTTTAATTCGTTAAAATAGTTCAATGAAATGTGTAACTTACTTAATGCAACTTTGGAGTGTATAGCTAAAGCTATAAATTCACTTTCTTATCTTGTGTATCAAGATAGTTTGGTTCACGGAAAGTTTCTACATATAATAATAACTTATAGATATGAACTTAACATGTAAGCGTTTATGAAAAATAATACATTCGGGGGATCTAACACAACCTTTTTAAAGGTTTAATCTAAATATATATAAAAACTTATTTTTTACTGCTTTTAACTGCCTGCCTTCTTAAAATAAAGTAAACATAAGTCAACTAATATATAACGTGTTTTGAACCGTCAGACGTGTTGTCAGTTGTTTACGCGTAGTACCTACATATTTAAATACAACACTTTCTTTTTGAAATTGAAACGCGAAATATATTTTCAGTAATTACTAATTTAGTTTTTTGAACTACGGCCCGCCATTTTAGATGCTTTGTAGCAGCCGTGGTTGAGCCGTAGTTAAAATAACTGAACTAAATACTTTGCGTTTTAAATGATTGAGTGTTATATATAAATCAGCGGAGAATGTCAAAGTAATTCACTTATATCGGGCAAATTGTTTTTGTTTGATTGCGCAACACGTACCTATTTACCATGTCAGCGCGTATCGTTATTCGTGACTGATCACCGTGAAATTACGGTCATATTGTACACGTAACAATAAAAATAGAATTATTGTTATAAGCAGGTAGTTTCGATCGAGTTTCGAATGACGTAAATTAAGAACAAGTATTTAAATTTTAAAAAGGAACACGCTTTATAGATTCAGTTGTGTGATCATTTTTCTAGGATACATAACGCCTAGTGTTGTACCATCGGTTCTACTAACGACGAGTAAAAAGAACGAACAGAGATGCGTTTGCGCATAATCGTAGTATTGGTCACCAGATTTAATCTATTCATTGATTTATTGATCTTACTTATGAGATATAAGAAAGATCAATAAATTGATTAAATCTGAGTGATAAAAGTGAAACAATCTTTAAATATTTAGGCATTTGTTTTATAACATATGCATAGAAGCCTAAATTTTAATCCTTCTGTCGACAAACACGAATAAAAAAAACATAATTCAAGGGTTTTTTATTTTCCTTGATCGTTATCTATTATCTAGTTAACATAACCACGCACCTAACTATTTTTCCTACGCTGGCAATTATTTAAAAATAATGTATATGGCAAAACAACGTCTGACGAAACCGGTAGTTCTTATATATATATGTATTTTAAACATCTCTATATAAAGCATGGTGACTGTATAATTCATAGTAACACAACATTTAATTATATCTAACTTTACATATAGTCATTTACGGTTATAATAAGTACTTGTCGTTTTTACGAGACACGAAATCGGGCTACTTCCACAAATACGTAAAGGAAACGTAAGCAGATTTTTTTTATACGCGTGCAAATAACGATCTAGGTTTACGATGATCCTGAAATATTGAATACATGAATATTTGTATGCCTATAGGCAGGGGTGAATGAACTTTCTATAGTTATTAGGTCCAAGGACCTCTGGATTGGAACTCACGAGCGTAAGAAGTTGCTCTTAAAAGCTACAAATAATTCAAATTTGTTCCTTCCATCTTAATATCATTAAATACTTCCTCAATTATAAAATCTACTTGACATTTAAATTACATTTGTACATTGACTCACTCATTCATATAATATAATATCATAAATACGTCTACATAAAATTGAACACGGTTATCGTTGAAATAATTTTACTTTCATTCATTTCGTTTTATTTAAATAAATAATTTTTCCTTTTACAACGAAAATTCTAGTAAAGAATATAATCTGTACATAGAATAAACGTTGTTGCAGGCACGGTGACTTGAAGGTGTTAATTTCACTCGTGCGATGCAAAGTCACACAATATAAATGACATCGGTTGTGCAAGTAAATATATAATAATTTTAACTTCATGCCATATAACACTGGTTTAGTTATAACGCAATTTCAGATTGGAACCGAAACGAGGAATTATTGAAGCATTTTTCAGCTACAGACCGTGATTCGTAATCTGAACGGAATTTCGATATTCCTACAACCTAATTACTATCTCTGGATCTTCTGAACGAAATGTACTCTTTCAGAAAAATTATATATTAATCTTCGAAAGATATTGGACTCGTTGATTATTTTTTTTATGAATAAATTGCTTACAAGCCATTAATTGCTCCCTTTAAACGGCGAACTAGCATAAACTCAAATTGCTGCCTAAAATAAACGGATAAATTTATAAAAACAATATTTCTTATTGTTTCTAATAAAAGATACATTTTGTTCTATGGTTTTGTTCCGATTATCTACTTATTTTAAAAGTTCTCACGGTATAGTATTTATTTGGAGTAATTAAATAATTCATCCACTGTGACAGCTGTACTTAAAGAAATTAAAATTCCTGAAAAATATTTCAGTAAACTTTCCTCTTAAAAAAAGGATACAAACGATTTGTCATGTAACTTCTAAAGAAGACTTACATAACAGTCAAACTTAATTTATTTTAATATAACTTGAACTAGATTACGTTATGTAGGAAATAAATTAGCACGGCGCTAGAAAAAGTCAAATCTTGGCATACTTATGTTAGCTTAAGCTTATTAAAAAAGTTATTACTTATTACTACCCAAAACTTTATCACAAAGAGCTTTGTAATTTATGACTGTGTCATGTTTTATATAGTAGAATTAATATTTTGCCACTCCGTGAGTTGAGTCATCTTGATAAGACCCCGAGGAAATTGAATTTTTCACAAGAGTGTGTGTATAGAAAACACAAAAGTGCTGTTAAGCAAAAGATACTGTAGAGGAAAACCACTATGCGCGGATGAGTGGACCGCCTTTTATTCTTTTGGAAATAAGAGAAACATTTTCTATGCACGAGCCTTTCGGGGAGAGGAATTTCCGTGTTTTCGTGGAATGCCTATTCCGAACAGGAATACTTTGTTTTTGTTTGAAT